GCGACCCTGAGTTTGAGAGATAAGGAATCACGTGTTAAGTTCGTCTTCTACGACGAATGTGGTTTTTTTTTTAATGACGAATATGCGTCATCCCTTTCTAATATTGTTGTTTTAACAAATACCGACCGTGGCTTAGTGTATATAAAGCCGATCATAAGTAAGTGCGTTTAGGACCTTTTCAAACTGAGAATTGATGACCAAATAACGTAAATACGTATAGTAGCCGATCCGTGTGTCCTAATGGCTTCCAGGAATAATACTAGTCGGAGAAGAGTCATACATGGTCATCGGGTTCCAAACTAGGATTCCTTGGACTATGAGAACCAGAAACCGTTATTTTTTTTTTGTCCACCTGATGGTGAGTGGTTACCATCGCCCATGGACCTCAGCAATATCTGGGGCTGAGCTAAGCCGCTGCCTACCGTTAGATACTTGTATACGTTTAAATGTAAGCAAACAAACGTGTCACCCGAATGTTTGGCCGATGCGGTAATCAAACGACGACCCTCGCCCAGCAGTGAGGGGCGCTAACCGCCGCACCGTCGAGTCAGACATTACTCGATTTTTTTTTATGTTTGAGGGATTACTAGTGGCCCGGAGGAATTTCCAATTTCACCAGGATAATATGGCGAGCAAAGGCTCAGCCAGGAAGGGCGGGATTTTCTAACAGCTATCCGAGCGCCTCCAAAGGAGACCTAACAACTCGAGTAACTGCTTTGCGAATGAATCTACTACCGGATCGGAATCGCGACCCGCTGAGAAGACAAATAGTATTTTCCTTCGTTTCCGCGAATCTAGTCAAGTAATGTACACGTCCTTACGGATCCACCAGATCCAATCACCCTTGCATTAGACCTTAGCCTTGAGCTCTAGCACTAGAAGCCAGCTTAGTGACCCCGGTAACCGTACCCGTCGAACTCGGCAAAGAGTTCGTCGTGCAATCTAAGCCATGCATCAGCCCGCCGAGTTTCTCGTCGGATCTTCTACCTTTTATAAACGCAATACAACTGATGCCAGTTTCCCGAGAGTTTTATATGTTTTGTTCGTGTTTGAAGTCGGGAGACCGCGGACATTTTATTTTTATAAAATGTGACTACATATTTCTAGAAAACATCATGCTTATTAAAAAAAATGATTTCATTCACTGTTGAATACGCTCCTACCCACCCGTTGTTGTTATAGACACAACAAAGAATCATCTTATATTTGTTAATATTATTCGACTATTCAATAAAAAAGAGAGGGAGAATGTGTGCTGTACATAATAATAATAAAAATTCTTGTAAAATAATTATTAGTCAACGTTGTGACACCTACCGGTAGTTCCTTAAACTAAATAGTACACGTGTAGCAGTTTTTAATTATCATTTATCAATAATATTTGCTAGATGGCGCTGTAAATTGATACTTAAATATAAAGATAGATGGCGCTGATATAAAATTTTGCTCACCGAGAATAGCTCGCAAATGACCCTCCAACGTTTGCAGGACAGTCATCTTAATCTCTTTGACGGTCTTGCCCAGGAACTGCTCGCAGGCAGTTGTGAGAAGTTCGTCTTCGTTCATGATCTTGCACTGGGCGACTCCGGTCACCGTGAGCGGCACTCCTTGGGCCGTTTCAACGTACTCGCACATCGGGTTCAATGTCATCACCTAGGAGGGAATCATCAGATTTATATAAGATCTTTTGTACTACCTCTTTCTATCATACGATTAGGGCATAACAACAATATTCATGTACTTCATTGCCGCCTACATTTAATTGGCAAATTAGAAAAAGAATAACAACCAACAGGTTCGAAGTTCCAAAACAAGGATGTAATATTACTAGAAAAAAATGCATGTAGTGAGAGTTATTTAAAAAAACCACTGATTTAAAAGTAAATAACCCGGCCCGTCTTTGCAGTAGATTGAATTATCGCGAAATATTAAATGAAATTACACAGATTATTTTTAAACAACACGCGCGTCATCTGTTCCGCTTAACCCCATAGACACAGCCCACTGAGTCTCTCTCCGGATCTTCTCAGTGGATCGCGTTTCCGATACGGTTGTAGATTCTGCGAATCACTGCTCTTGCTAGGGCCAGTGTTAGCAACACCTCCGGTTTGAGCCCCGAGAGCTCACCTACACGCTAGGGTAACGCTGATATCATCTCAAGGCTATCAGCATAGGTAGGAAAAAAGAAAAAAAAAACTGTTCCGAATTACGAACAATGACTAAAACATTCCCTAAAGTATGAGAATCGCGACCATATTATTTTAATAATATATTTTAGAGTAATCGAAAACCGCTGCGCTGTCAATAGACTAATTTTTTTTTAAATATTTCAATACCTTAAAGTGGGGGAAATTTTAAGTTCGACGTTGATTTTTATCGGTTTTTTTATGTAGTAGTAGTAGGTAGTTTTTCATTTATTTTTTTAATTTTTAATTTTTTTTCATTTATAATTTCTTCATTTATAATGCATTAAGATATAGTTTATTAAAGAATAATCATAAAACGATACAAAAAGTCACGTGTCCCTATTCACGCAGGCGTTGGTGAATCGGGTCGGTTAAGAGGTTCATAGAGTTTTTTCGCTAGGTCTAGCACTATTTAGTTGTTAGGTACCTAACTTTAGGTAATTAATTTTTTAATATCTTTAATGAGTTACAAAGCTTTGATGACTAAATGAAACTGTTTAATATTCTTAAACACTAAATAAAAGTCATTTTTAGTTAAACAAAGTTAAGCCTCACACAACTCAACAAAAGTATTGTGACATCCCAGACCTGTCCCTATTCCACCTCTAGTCCCTATTCCCCCCAATCTACTGTAATATTACTTACTTCTAGGGATATACGTTGGACGTCCGTCACCAGACACCAGGCCCATGCCCATCCACCCACTATGGTACGTTTCGTGGTCGGCCCGAAACAGCCACCTGGAACAAAGATTACGTAAATTAGATACAGATTAAAAGAAAAGATAAGATTACTTAAATGTACATATATTACAAGCGCACTTTAGGTACATGAATTGAAGAGTTTCAACACAAAGAAAAAGACGTATTTATTACTTATATATGAGAATAAATAAATAATAAATTATTAATTAATAGTAATAGTATTTATTATTATTTAATAGTAATAGTATTTATTTAGAGTGCGGAATGAATACATACGGGGGAGCTTTAAAGTCGCATCAATTACAGACAAAATGACGGAAAATCGCCTTAGATGGTATGGCCATATCATGAGACGGGACGAAAATCATGTGGTGAAGGTCGCATTGGGCTAGCCAGAACAAAATAAAGGTGGAGGCCGCCCGCCATCGACCTGGTGGTCAAACATCGAAAGGTACGATAACCCCAGTTAACGAGAACCGGGACGGATACAAAAAAAAAATGCAAATATATACTTATTCGCAATATCCAGTTCGGGCGTAGCTGGAATATCCCCTTAGGCTACCAGCGAATAGGTAAGAATAAAAAACCTCTGTAGGAGCTACAGTCAATTCTACAGGAACTCGGCATCAAGCAGCGACTATCCTCCATCGTTCAGGGTCGCATTCTCACTTTCTTCGGTCATGTGTCGCGGCGGGGTGACGACTCAGTTGAGCGCCTTGTGGTGCAGGGCATGATAGAGGGTACAAGACCGCGCGGCAGATCACCGTTACGATGGAACGACCAAATAAAGGCAGCTCTAAACGGTCCCGTTAACGAGTGCACAAGAAGGGCCGCGGTACGCGAGGAATGGCGACGTCTGGTCAAGCGCACCACCAACCGAAATGATGACCACGACCACTCTGCCAAGAGTGCATACGACTGAGAAGAAGGAGCTACATAGACGTGGGGGAGAAAAGTGCATCGAGTGATCAACATTTTAAACTAGACACGACCTTCAGCAAGGAAGAAACCGACTCAGAAGAAGATAGGAGCTATAATAAAAAAGGCAACATGAATAACACCTTTTCATAGTCTTCTTATAACTGGCTCATAAAGCTACGATTAATAAGGCCATTAAAACGTCGGAGTATCTAGTAGGCTCTGGGAAAGACGAATCCGCAGATACTGAGAATGAATCTATTTCTAAAAGACCTAAAATACTAAAACATACATTGACAAACAAAAGAAGGCAAAGTTAGGCAATCCAGGCGCTTAGTAACAGAAATCGACATAATTACTTCAGTGCGCCGCGTAGGGCACCGGTGACCTTCATGGTAGTCAGCGTGTTAGTCTCGTAGGAACGCCGCCGGACCTACCAGTTAATTTCGCCTATATTTTTTCACGAAACGACTTACTAGAACTACATCTGTTTATGCTTTAACTATTTTCATTAGTCTCCTTTTACATACGTTATAGCTGTAGTATATTCCTGTATCGGCATCGGGAATGGGTCGCGAACGTAAAGGGCTCTTTAGTTTGGTGTTTTTTTTCCTACCTAATCGCTGGTGACTACCAGCTAGACTAAACAGACTAAGGGGCTATTTCAGCTACTTTTGGGAGGGGTATCTCACAGGCTCAACCTGAGAGAATTTGCTAACACTGGCTCTAGCAAGAGTAGCGTTTCGTTTCGCTGTATCTACCACTGGATCGGCAAAGTGACCCACTGAGAAGATCCGGCGAGAAACACAGTGGGTTATAAGTTGCATGTCGCACTCTCGACAACCAACGTGTTTGACGAGAACGACGCGACCGGTGCTAAGGATTTTTACATCTTGTATATGTGTGAACAAAAATTTTTTTTAGGAATATGAACTTATATTTATGAACTACATTTAGACCCAAACTCGATGCTTTGCTCTTTGGTCGACCGGTCGTACCAATCGTGTACCGTAATGAAGTCCACTAAAACGCCGGCACGTACACGTGGAACATATTATCTAATTTAATATTGCGAAAGATCAGGAATAAATGTAAACTTTAAAAAAATCTAATGACTCATAAACGAATGCAGCATATAGAGTTGTGCCGTCAGTACGTTTCCTGGAAATACGATTTAACATACTTTCGCAAGATGAGTCTCACGGATAATGTATACACGAGGTTTCTTTCAACTATCGTTTCTAACTTAAAGGAAAAACTTGGAAAAATGAAGCACGCGGATTGGCTCCAGGCCTATGTCTCACGTATTTCATATACCTTCGCGTTCCGGTTTGACTGACCCAGGCGACGGTGCAAGGCAAAGCCGTCGTCGCCCAAAACATGTCTTGTCACATTTTTTTATTTTATTGCTTAGATGGGTGGACGAGCTCACAGCCCACCTGGTTACTGGACCCCTAGACATCTACAACGTAAATACGCCACCCACCTAACGGCTGCCCCACCCTTCAAACTGAAACGCATTACTGCTTCACGGCAGAAATAGACGGGGTGGCGGCACCTACCCGTGCGGAATCACAAGAGATTCTACCACCAGTAGAAAAGGTAAATTATGGAACCAAAAACTTTAACCCCAAACAACAAACCCTGCATGTAGAGCGTTGCACTGTATAATTATATTACTGGAGATATAACCCAAGGGAGGTTACGTCTGGAAGAGGGCCAGTCGTAAAACTTATGCTAAGTCCTTATGCAGCATAATAGGAAGGCACGCTCCGCCAAACCCACATAATGTGGGATCAGGGCGAAAAGAAGCAAACTTTCCATATTCAATTGTCCCAAGCTTTTGGTTGTTATGTGTGCCGAAACAATAGGAGAACACGAAATCTTAATACCCTAAACAGAACTTACTGTGATGGTAGGATCTCTTGTGAGTCCGCGCGGGTAGGTACCACCACCCTGCCTATTTCTGCCGTGAAGCAGTAATGCGTTTCGGTTTAAAGAGCGGGGCAGCCATTGTAACTATACCGAGACCTTGGAACTTATATCTCAAGGTGGGTAGCGCATTTACGTTGTAGATGTCTACGGGCTCTGGTAACCACTGAACACCAGGTGGGCTGTGAGCTCGTCCAACCATCTAAGCAATAAAAAAAGAAAACCTGGGCCTCGTGATATCACAGCCATTATCGCTAACAGCTCGACACCAACGAACGGATATTACACAATTGATGCGGTGACTAAGTTGTTACTAGAAAACAAACCAATAAGTTTCGATGTGCGTAGAGGAAAGAAAACTGGCCCCACCACTCGAGGCAATATGACGTTTAAGTTACCGTTTGACCGTCAAAGAAAGTGCTTGCTACCTCCGCTGGCGAACAGCCTATCGATTTCGAACCAGTTTAATAAATCTATCACACAATTTAAGAATTGTTTTGCGAGTTTCGTGTAAACAAATTTGCGTTAGGGTCGTTTTGTTTATATATTTTGCGTTGTTTTGTGTTCACACGTCGGTTTCAGTGAAATGATTTTCAATTCAGAATTTTTGTCGCTTGTGCCCGTGTATTTGTGAAAGTGTGAATAATTGTAAGTATTACGTTTTATTTTTTACGGTCTAAATTCGTGATAGCAAATAGTGTTGTGTGTGGAGCAGCACATACGTCCCTATCTGCGGCTGTATCGGTATTGCGCGAAGCAATTTTGTGTTACAGATTAAAGGGCAGCCTTATTCTAAGGCAACTGGGTCGTTGACCTCGTGTCTCAAGGTGAGTTAGCGGTATCCGACTAGTCGGACGTGAGCTGTATGATCTAATAATAATGGCTAAGACATACAATGTCCTCTTTTACTACGGTGAGGTCTGAATGTGCCAAAAACAAACTTCACTGAAGTAACTAAAGTGAATACGAGAACGACTTCTAGTACTAATATACAAAATATCGTTATTGAAGCGTGGAGTATTGTGAGGTCGCACGGGTCACCACAATTCAGCCTATTTCTGCCACGGGGTTCGAAAAATGGAGCGGCCGTTCTGCAGCACATTTGAGACTTCAACTTTGTGCTCCAAGCGGAGATGTCAGACTTTGACAGCTTCACGCCAAACGGGCCATACGCTTGATTGCTGAAAAGCCTCAAATATCTAATAACAAGTAACGAACACATTAAACTATAATCGTCGGAAAGTATACTATCAGATTACATTTGAAATATAAAATTCGTCTATTATTACGTCTATGTTTTATAAAAATTTAATAGCTTTGTAACTTTTTGATACCTACTTGTAAATACTATTATTTAGCGGATTCTTACCACGATTTTTAGTTTTAGAATCTAACCGTGATCAATATTGCAACAGCTCTGAAATACACGGAACTAACAATGCATCGTGATAAGTCTGTAATATAGTTTATAAAATTAATGGTCGCGAAATTTAAAAAACAGTTAATTATTCTACTGCTTCACTATAAAATTCAATTCTATTGAAAATAATATGTATTGTAAGCATAAATAGATTTGTTTTTGGTTCATCTGTGACGTCAAACATACCTATTAGCGAACCGAATCTCAGGTTTTTAAGGCCTCCAATTTCTTGTGAGTTCTTCAATTACAAAAGTATTATTGCATCCCGAGAATAGACGTAAATATGACCTCTTAGGACTTCATTGCAAAATCTCTGTCATATTTTGTTTTCATTCGTAATCCTACAGCACCCGACGGGTTGAATGACCTCAAATGTCACCGTCAGCAATCTGAGAAGTATCACAGTTTTCGACGAGAAAACCGGCTCATTACGCATGTTTACCGGCCAAAACTTAACTTTTGCCTAACGTATGGTTCAGTTTTTAGTTAAAGGCTACAATATGCACATGTAATGTAATAATCGTCAGTCCATCAACCAATTAACCAAGTCAGTATACCAATAAACAATATCAGTATATTCATATAATTTCCAACTAAAACCCTTAATTCTTAACGCCATTTTGGAAGAAAACATCTTCTGCCGTGAGAAACCTTGATGTAACCCGTACATCTGTCTAAGTCATATTTAATGCTTCATTAATTAACCTAAAATAAAACTTCTCTAATTCTCTGTTAATCTATATTATGGAATTAATAATATTATCGATACTGCCGCTTTACCTCCAACCTGTCGTGCATAAGGGCCTGTAAGTCACAATAGAACCGATTTTGTTTTTTATTAGCCTTACAAGCTTATTGTGTTTATATAATTCAACTGACCTATATTAAACGTTCTTCATGCAACACGACACTTCGAAACATATAAATATTTATATATTATATCAATAGCACAGAGTACATTACATTATCGTTACATAACAACTGTTATTTTCACCGGAACTTTTTAGTATTCCGTTTGCAATTCCGAAGGATGGCTGCGAATTAATCGTGTTTCTTAATTTCCAGAAGATTCGATTTCTAAATGCGTCCAAACAGCCGGAAAATTGCTATTTATTATTTCATATTATAATGAAATTTTTTCGATATTAAAATGAGCGGGATCCGTGGTATCGATTTTGCTTTCAACGCGACAAGCATAGGCAACGTATTGGCTGTTGCTAGCGGTTGAGTTTGAGACGCACGGATGCGTACCACAATTCTGTCTATTTCAGCCGTGAATAACAAATTATTTTGTCCGCTATACGATCTATTTGTAACCTTAACCTTAGATTAGAAGTCGTCGTGGCCTAAAGGATAAGGCGTCCGGTGCATTCGTGTTGAGCGATGCACACCGATGTTCGAATCTCAGGCTGGTACCAATTTTTCTAATGAAATACGTACTTAACAAACGTTCACGATTGACTTCCACGGTGAAGGAATAACATCGTGTAGTAAAAATCAAACCCGTAAAATTATAATTTGCGTAATTACTGGTGGTAGGACCTCTTGTGAGTCCGCACGGGTAGGTACTACCGCCCCGCCTATTTCTGGCGTGAAGCAGTAATGCGCTTTGGTTTGAAGGGTGGGGCAGCCGTTGTAACTATAACTATACTTTAACCACTTTAACCTTAGAACTTATATCTCAAGGTGGGTGGCGCATTTACGTTGTAGATGTCTACGGGCTCCAGTAACCACTTAACACCAGGCGGGCTGTAAGCTCGTCCACCCATCAAAGCAATAAAAAAAAAAATTAAAAAAAAATTCAAGATCGGTGGTGATGTCTTTTAGCTACAGTTAGACCGTGAGATCGTCCGGCTATGTAGAGCAATAAAAAGGTTTTAATGTCTTCTCTTTGACCCTTCTGCAAATACCGCTGTGTTTGTGACGTGAATTGTTAAGACTTTGAGACGTGTACATTCGCATGTAGCGACGTATTGCATATAACGGATCACACGTTTTCAGACGACACCGTTTTCGCTTCCATTGTCGGTCGACGCCCGAACTATATTATGACACACTTTTATTAGCTCGCTATGTATGTATATGTGTTTGCTTGTATGTAATGGAATCTTTTAACGTCATTTTTACGAACATCAAAACGTCCGATTAACTTGATATTTTACACTTGCATCAAGGAGGAGGATCGCGGGTTCATATGCCCACGGAGTAGATAAATAAGGTTGGAATGGTAATGTAGGCGGGGCAAGCGTGCCACAGTTGTGATCGAACAAACATAACTCGACCGATTCTTTCATTCACCGCGTTTAGTGCGCTTCGGAATACTTGGGCGAACAGATCTCCGCTTTATAGTGCCGTGTTGTGCAATTATAACTTGTAAAACAAAAAATCAGACCTCAAGTATAGAGCGAGGAGGTATATGTTTCGATCGGTAAGTCGAAATTACCATTTAATTACAATATTATTTGTCTAAAACATAAAAATATACTGAGCATTATGAAATTCCAAACATTAACAATATTATTGCAGCAAGTTATAAATAGCATACATTGCGCGATGTGTACTCGCCCAATGAACGCAATGACCAAGTCAGCTTCCAATGTACTACATGCATTGCGTTCTCTACNGTGTATCAAAATACAGTCCTGACGAACCTTGTGGAACCTGTTTCTCATACCATGTTCAATAACAGGCACTGGGTATTCCAACAAGATTCGGTGCCAGCTCATAGAGCGAAGAGCACACAAGACTGGCTGGCGGCGCGTGAAATCGACTTCATCCGGCACGAAGACTGGCCCTCCTCCAGTCCAGATTTGAATCCGTTAGATTAGAAGATATGGCAACACTTGGAGGAAAAGGCGTGCTCAAAGCCTCATCCCAATTTGGAGTCACTCAAGACATCCTTGATTAAGGCAGCCGCCGATATTGACATGGACCTCGTTCGTGCTGCGATAGACGAATGGCCGCGCAGATTGAAGGCCTGTATTCAAAATCACGCAGGTCATTTTGAATAAACTTTAGTGTCATAAGAATCTATGTTTGTTAAGTTCATTTTGGTATATGAATGATTACATAATGAATAAACTTGTTTCAATTATTTTACATTAAACATGTGACAGAATTTATGACCTGACTAGGTATATATAAAAATGAATTGCTGTTCGTTAGTCTCGCTAAAACTCGAAAACGGTTGGACCGATTTGGCTAATTTTGATCTTGAATTATTTGTGGAAGTCCAGAGAAGGTTTACAAGGTAGATAAATATGAAAATGCTTGGAATTAAATAAAAATAACAATTTTGTTTTCCCTTTGATGTCCCCCCTGTCGGACGGATTCTTTTTGTTTGTTGTAAGTTTATTTTATACAAAAGTTTCGGTCTTTTATTTATCGATTGAGGCAGTATGAAGTCTGCCGGGTCAGCTAGTGTTTTATAAAAATTGAATAGTTTGAAACTTTTTGATACCTACTTGTAAATACTATTATTTAGCGGATTCTTACCACGATTTTTAGTTTTAGAATCTAACCGTGATCAATATTGCAACAGCTCTGAAATACACAGAACTAACAATGCATCGTGATAAGTATATATAAGTATAATAGAATTTATAAAGTTAATGGCCGCAAACTTAAAAAACATTTCATTATTCTGCTTCTTTACTACAAAGTTTAATTCTATTGATAATATGTGTTGTAAGTATAAATAGATTTGTTTTTGGTTCATCTGTGACGTCACACATACCTATTAGCGAATCGAATCTCAGGTTTTAAGGCCTCCAATTTCTTGTGAGTTCTTCAATTACAAAAGTATTATTGCATCCCGAGAATAGACGTAAATATGACCTCTTAGGACTTCATAGCAAAATTTCTGTGATATTTTGTTTTCATTCGTAATCCTACAGCACCCGACGGGTTGAATGACCTCAAATGTCACCGTCAGCAATCTGAGAAGTATCACAGTTTTCGACGAGAAAACCGGCTCATTACGCATGTTTACCGGCCAAAACTTAACTTTTGCCTAACGTATGGTTCAGTTTTTAGTTAAAGGCTACAATATGTACATGTAATGTAATAGGTAATCGTCAGTCCATTAACCAATTAACCAAGTCAGTATACCAATAAACAATATCAGTATATTCATATAATTTCCAACTAAAATCCTTAATCCATCTTCTGCCGTGACAAACCTTGATATAACCCGTACATCTGTTAAGTCATATTTAATGCTTCATTAATTAACCTAAAATAAAACTTCTCTAATTCTCTGTTAATCTATATTATGGAATTAATAATATTAACGATACTGCCGCTTTCCCTCCAACCTGTCGTGCATAAGGGCCTGTAAGTCACAATAGAACTGATTTTGTTTTTATTAGCCTTAAAGCTTATTGTGTTTATATAATTCAACTGACCTATATTAAACGTTCTTCATGCAACACGACACCTCGAAACATATACTATAAATATTCATATCAATAGCACAGAGTACATTACATTATCGTTACATAACAACTGTTATTTTCACCGGAACTTTTTAGTATTCCGTTTGCAATTCCGAAGGATGGCTGCGAATTAATCGTGTTTCTTAATTTCCAGAAGATTCGATTTCTAAATGCGTCCAAACAGCCGGAAAATTGCTATTTATTATTTCATATTATAATGAAATTTTTTCGATATTAAAATGAACGGGATCCGTGGTATCGATTTTGCTTTCAACGCGACAAGCATAGGCAGCGTATTGGCCGTTGCTAGCGGTTGAGTTTGAGACGCACGGATGCGTATCACAATTCTGTCTATTTCAGCCGCGAACAAAAAATTATTTCGTCCTCTACACGATCTATTTGTGATCTTAACTTTAGATTTCAGGATCGGTGGCGATATCTTTTGGCTACAGTTAGACCGTGAGATCGTCCGCCTATGTCTATACTATAATAATATTATAAAGAGGAAAAATTTGTTTGTTTGTTTGTTTCGAATAGGCTCCGAAACTACTGGACCGATTTGAAAAATTCTTTTTCCATTAGAAGCCGACATTGTCCCTGATGAACATAGGCTACTTTTTTTTAAAAAAATTTTATTTTTTATTTTTGGTTTCATGTGTGTTTTAATGTTTCCGAAGCGAAGCGAGGGCGGGTCGCTAGTAGAGCAATAAAAAGGTTTTAATGTCTTCTCTTTGACCCTTCTGCAAATACCGCTGTGTTTGTGACGTGAATTGTAAGCACATTGGGACGTGTCCATTCGCATGTAGCGACGTATTGCATATAACGGATCACACGCTTTCAGACGACACCGTTTTCGCTTCCATTGTCGGTCGACGCCCGAACTATATTATGACACACTTTTATTAGCCTGCTATGTATGTATGTATGTATGTATGTATGTGTGTTTGCTTGTATGTAATGGAATCTTTTAACGTCATTTTTACGAACATCAAAACGTCCGATTAACTTGATATTTTACACTTGCATCGAGGAGGAGGATCGCAGGTCTATATGCCACATTAGACAAAAATTCGGGAATCCTAGATTGATGCCAAGTGATTTGTCCTAGATTAGTAACTTCTTTAATTATTGTTACTGTGTGTCTATGGAACAATAACTTTAAACTATTTGAGTAGCAACAAAAGTTTGAAAGAACTACCAAGGATTATTTCATTTAATTTAAAATAAATCATCATTAGAACCAATTCCAAACCAAATCTACTATTCGTTTTATGGTGATATAATAAATGTTTTACATTTTCCAGACGGCAAGATGAGTGCTATAGTGAACGCAGCTGCTGATGTGCTGTCCGGAACTGCTATTGCTGCTGCAACTGGCTCACAGGTATTGCCATCAACAAAAAATAATAATCTCCCACTACCCACAATATTACGCCAGACCATCAAAAATACAAATACCCAAAACACAAACAAAGAAAATGAGACCTCCAATCAAATACTGGTGGCAGGACCTCTTGTGAGTCCGCGCGGGTAAGTACCACCACCCCGCCTATTTCTGCCGTGAAGCAGTAATGCGTTTCGGTTTGAAGGGTGGGGCAACCGTTGTAACTATACTGAGACCTTAGAACTTATATCTCAAGGTGATTAACGCATTTACGTCGTAGATGTCTATGGGCTCCAGTAACCACTTAACACCAGGTGGGCTGTGAGCTCGTCCACCCATCTAAGTAATAAAAAAATAAATAAATAAATAAGTTAACGTTAGCTCTTTCTGTGTGCAAAGAAACTTAAATGGATTTTTTTATTATTATCACACTACGCTTACCGCTCTATTTAAACATTGAGGTCGACGAATGTAAGTCAAAAGGTAAAATGAGCAGGTAATGGTAAAATCATTTGAAAAATGAGATATTTTATCGTTTTGCGGAATTGGGACCGTAGGAATGCACAAGTTTAATACATATATTAGCCACCGTATATTAATGACGCTGATGTGGTCGAAGACAGAGCGAAGTGGAGGAGAATATAAGGAAAGCTGAGCTTACCACCATGTGTGATGCATTACTAGGAAGAGAGATACATATAACTCAGGGCATTCCAATAAATTATATTATGTTTTAAACTGTTTTGAGCGAAATTTACTAAAGCTAATGTCAAGCCTTCAATGTGACATACCAACATATTATGGACTACATCATCATCATTCCCTTGTCCTTCTCCCAGTTACCTGGGTTTGGCGCAATATGTTTTCTCCTTCCATACTCTTCTATCTTCCATTTCGTCACTCATGCTCCTCTTACACATATCGTCTTTCACGCAATCCAACCATTGTTTTTTAGGTTTACCTCTTCCGCTAAAGCCTTCCACATTCATAGTTAAAACTCTTTTAACAACCTCATTGATCATTTCGTCTCATCACATGAATTTACCATCCCAAACGCGCATTTCTCGGTCACATGTGCCGCTTTCAGACTTCCTCTAACTACCTACGACTACGTACATATAATAAAGAATAATACTTAGAATAATTGTGTAGCGCCTTCAATAAATAATCATATCTATACGAATTTTATAAAACTGAAGAGTTTGTTTCTTTGTTTGAACGCGCTAATCTCAGGAACTACTGGTCCGATTTGAAAAAATTTTTCAGTGTTAGATAGCCCATTTATTGAGGAAAGCTTATAGGCTACATATAATAAAGCAGCAATAAAGAATGTTTCAAAACCGGGGTTCTTTTTCTTTCTACGTAAATGAAGTCGCAGGTAAAATTTAGCGTTATGCCAAAGTAACTATTCCACGCGGACGAAGTCGCGGCCAAAAGCTAGTATTTAAATAAAGTATTTAATAATTAATAGATCTTACATTTAAAAAGGTACTACTCAATTCGGTACGTATGTTTTTTTTAGGTAGCTTGGTTCGTTCCGATGCTTGTAGCCGCGATAGCGTACTACCAATACGACCGGACAGATCCGGAGGGTCGTCCTACAGATGTCAGCGATGAGATACTACCGGAATACGACTTCATTATAGTAGGGGCTGGCTCAGCTGGTTAGTAAGTATAGGTAGCTAGTATTCGATCTTTTAAAAGAAACTGAAGCTAAATTACCTATTATTTTTATGTGCAGAATTAATAAATGAACATCGTAAATATTTAATAGCTTTTATTCTGATTGTGTGTGTGTGTGATTGTGAATGCCTTTGAGTAGTGCACCACCAAATCCAGATTCAATTGAATTGTCAATTGACAATCGAAGTCAGTATTTTTGTTAATCGAGATGTGATTGCTCTTTTTTCGAATGTCTTTCCGACAATCATAACACAGGAGAAAAACATAGCGCGGCCCGTTGAATGTGGAGCGTTTCTTTATTTATATAAAAACGTTCCACATTATAACAATGACATCAAAATACCAAAAATGCATTATAGTATTGTTTATATACCTTGTTCGACATTCAATTACATCAACGGGGATCTAATGTATATAATATTCTGTAATACTTAGCGAAGGGTAATGCAAAGTTTGCTGCAGTCTAATCAGGTCGTTTTAGTCAACGAACTGGTCGAGTATTATGATTTTAGTGGTGACCGCGCCCACCTCTGGTACCTCTCCACGTTCTAGCCTGAGGTGCACGAATTCTCGGAGAAAGAGAGAGGAGTCGTTTGATGGGTACCATAATATGAAATCATTCCATTTTTTGTAAGAGTTATTAACTGCATGCCATTTCAATTTAAAATCGCACCACCATCCGCACCACCGCACATCTCTTCCCGTGGATGTCGTAAAAGGTGACTAAAGGATTCACTTTCAACTGACCTTCATTCATTATTCGCACCTTGTATTGTGAATCTCATAGGCATCCCACCATATGTATAAATGTATCCATTTTAAGGATGAACCAGACGACAATACAAGTTAGGCCACGTGTCTCAAGGTGTGTGACGGAATTCAGGTTGTAGTATTGTGATGGCATCGGGTAACCACTATACACTAGATGGTCCGTGAGCTCTTTAATCTATCCTCGCAACAAAAGAAGCATTCTATACTTATCTTGCAACCCATACAAAATTTCAGGAGCTGTTTTAGCGAATCGACTCTCAGAAATCGGTTACTGGAAGATACTGCTGCTAGAAGCAGGGGGACATGAAACAGAGATATCCGATGTGCCCCTACTGGCAGGATACTTACAACTGAGTAAACTAGACTGGCAATACAAAACCGAACCCCAAGGAACTAGTTGTTTAGGTATGAAAAACCTATTAATGTTGTTTTTTATTTTTTTATTATTAATTCTAAAATCAAGGAAAGCGGTCCTTTTTTCTTTTTATAAAACGTGCGTGATAATTACACAATCGTTTAAATGTTTAGCTTCACTTTCCTTATACGGAATATTGTCATCATGATTGTTATTAAAATTTTCAGCAATGGAAGGGGGACGCTGCAACTGGCCTCGTGGTAAAGTCCTGGGTGGCAGTTCCGTTTTGAACTACATGCTCTATCTTCGAGGTAATGGAAGAGATTATGACACATGGGAGGCGCTAGGCAACAAAGGATGGGGTTATAAGGACGTGCTTCATTACTTCAAGAAATCAGAAGATAACAAGAATCCGTATTTAGCTCAAACACCTTATCACAGTACCGGTGGATACCTTACGGTTGCAGAAGCCCCTTACCAAACGCCACTAGTGTCGAGTTTCATTGAAGGTGGATTAGAATTAGGGTACATGAACCGAGACATCAACGGCGAAAACCAGACAGGCTTTATGGTAGCCCAAGGCACTGTCAGACGAGGCAGCCGTTGTTCTACTTCAAAGGCTTTTCTAAGATCCGCTAAAGATCGCCAAAACTTACACATATCTATGCACTCTCACGTTACTAAAGTTCTAATAGATCCACGCACGAAAATAGCATTTGGTGTTGAATTTATACGCGATAAGATGGTACACCGCATCAGAGCACGAAAAGAGGTAATACTTTCCGCTGGTACCATTAATTCCGCTCAAATTTTAATGTTATCTGGCATCGGTCCAAGTGAAGAACTAGCAAAGCATCGGATACCTGTTATCCAGAATCTAAAGGTTGGCAGTAATTTGCAAGATCATATTGGCTTGGGCGGTTTAGCCTTCATGGTAAACAAAGAAATTTCAATTGTCGAACACCGCTTACACACAGTTAGCACTTTGATGGAGTACGCAGTGCTCGGTGAAGGTCCTTTGACAATTATGGGTGGAGTCGAGGGTCTAGCATTCGTGAATACGAAATACGCAAATGCTTCAGACGATTTTCCTGACATTGAATTCCACTTCATATCCGGTTCAACAAATTCCGACGGCGGTGAACAAATACGTAAAGCACACGGACTGATGGAGAATTTCTATGATGCCGTTTTTAGACCGATTAACAATATGGATGTTTGGAGTATCATTCCTATGTTGCTACGTCCAAGAAGCAAAGGTTTTATACGGTTACGCAGCGCAAACCCATACGATTATCCATACATTTATCCAAATTATTTGATGGACGAAATGGATGTTAAGACGCTTGTTGAAGGCGTTAAAATCGCTATAGCATTGTCTAGAACACAAGCTTTCCAACAACATGGTTCCGTTTTGAATAAACACGTCTTTCCTGCGTGTGTTAGTATTAAGAGGTACACAGATGCGTATTGGGAATGCATGATAAGGCAGTATACGTGCACAATTTACCATCCAGTCGGCACAGCGAAAATGGGACCCTACTGGGATCCAGATGCAGTCGTTGACCCCGAACTGAGAGTGTACGGAATCAAAGGCCTTAGGGTAATCGATGGTAGCATAATGCCTAATTTGGTTAGTGGAAATACTAATGCACCAATTATTATGATTGGCGAAAAAGGCAGTGATATGATCAAAGAGTTCTGGTTAAACCGGCGAATGTCAAGATATTACATATAAAGCGATGGACAAAATTAAAAAAAAAACAGTATTAGTAGACTTAATTTGTAAATATTATTCGGCTTAAGATATTTATTAAGTATTTATTTTACGTTTAAATGCTACTTAGTGTCACAATGATCACATACATAATTTTAATGTTATGTAAGTAACAATAAATATTGTGGTTTAAATATTATAGTGATTTAATTTCCCACTGTCATGAGATGTTGTATTATGAATGCATTGTTGTTGTTACATAATACATTTCATAATTTCGTTGAGATAACAATTATTGTTTTGGAAGTGATGACTTCGATAATTGTTGTTATATGTATGTATACTTCGATAATGTTTATGAACATATCAGATACGATTAAAATATTTTTAAACGCAGACACTTAACAGTACAGGAGAGGGTGGAGTTTAAAAAGTATATTAATATTATTATTTTTTACATAGAATTAAAGTACCTACGTAAAAACGTAAGCAGATGACTCAAACCATATGTTTTAGTACTTTTCAAAATTAATAATACAAGTTGGTATTATTAAAACAAATACATCAGCAATAAACGAAATAAAATCTGGCATAAAAAATGATTCGATTGCGTATTCTTCACATTCAACACTCTGTAGCACGAATTTAACAATTTGCTGATTCAAACAAAACACTGCATAAGTATCATTCACATATTTTTAAGAACCATTAGTCGATTATCAGTAATGAAGCAGCACAACACTGCATCATGTCTAATTACAGCCCAGTAAAAAGTATAGTTTCGGGCACCAGAATTTTGTTTGGTTTACTCCCAGGTTTGGGTGTCCTGATCGTGATCCGTATGGCTATACATTTGTACAGACCCGATATTGAAGATTCAGAGCATCGGGTCAGGGACCATCCGATCGAAGACCTGAACGATTGCTACGATTTTGTTATCGTTGGCGGTGGTTCTGCTGGAGCGGTTTTAGCAAATCGTCTGACAGAAAACCCAGCATGGAAAGTATTGTTATTAGAAGCTGGACCCGATGAGAATGTGCTTTCCGAAGTGCCCGTGTTGTTTCCGATATTACAAACTTCATTTATAGACTGGCAGTTTGCGACCGAGCCCAGTAATGATTATTGTCTCAGTATGATTGACAAAAGGTGTAAGTGGCCACGCGGTAAAGTTCTCGGTGGATCTAGTGTTCTAAATGCAATGTTATATATTAGAGGCAATAAACGTGATTACGATAACTGGGAAAGAATGGGAAACGCCGGTTGGAGTTACAACGATGTATTCCCCTACTTTTTGAAATCTGAAGATATCAGAATTGCAGAGCATCAAAATGATTCTTATCATGCAACTGGAGGTCCGTTAACCATAGAATATTTTAGATACGAGCATCCAATCACAAACAAGATTTTAGAAGCAGGCGCACAACTTGGTTACGTAGTAAGGGATGTAAACGGTGAATTTCAAACAGGATTCACTCGCTCTCAGGCAACCGTGCGAGATGGTCTTCGTTGCAGCACAGCAAAGGCATTTCTAAGACCTATATCTAAAAGACAGAATCTTCACATCAGTATGAATTCTTTAGTAGAAAAAGTGCTGGTTGATGAGTACCGAACAGTTTATGGGGTAAAGTTTTCAAAGCATGGTCATAAAAAAATCGTGAAAGCTAGCAAGGAAGTAATTCTATCAGCCGGTTCTATTCAGTCGCCACAATTATTGATGTTATCTGGTATCGGGGATGCTACTGAATTAAAAGAACTAGGGATATTTCCAATAGCACATCTGCCAGGAGTTGGGAAAAATTTACAAGACCATACTGCTATGGGCGGTCACTCCTTTCTTTTTGAGTACCCTTCTGACAAAGGAGCTCGTTTTTGCTTTGACCTAAATACTTTATTTTCTTTCGGAAATCTTATTGACTTTTGTGTTCATAATAGTGGATTAATGTACAGTATGGTGGAAGCTGAGGCAATGGCTTTTGTAAACACGAAATATCAGAACCCAGCTGAAGATTATCCCGATATACAATTATTTCTTGCTCCGACAGCAGATAATATGGACGGTGGTCTTTTCGGGAAACGAGCTAATGGTATCACAGACGAAACATACGCTGAACTATACGAGGATCTATTATACGAATCATCGTTTTCAATAGTTCCACTATTACTAAGACCAAAAAGCCGAGGCTACATCAAATTGCGGGACAGCAATCCTAATTCACCTCCTCTTATTTATCCAAACTACTATTCCCATCCAGACGATGTGAAGATTATGGTAAGTTTGCTTTGTTTGCTAGTTTTTGTATATTATTAAGGTAATTCAATAAGAAAATCTAATTTTATTATTACAATTAATGTGAATGTTATATTAAAACGATTGAGTACAACATGTTAAAATTAACGAACAAATTTATTTATTTTTTGGTAATTAGTTTTGTATTAGCTAAATTATAATCAAACGCTCATTAAATTTATCATTAGACATTTACGTCCTATACAAAAAACACAATTAAGATTTATCACTTGACCTTTTCTGTTGTCCCTTTATTTCCTAATACATTGTAGTTTTCTTAAAAACACGTGTACGTACATATATTACGTTTTGTCGATTTATTTTGTACGTATCATATTTTTGAATTCTATTTTACACTACCTTATTTGGACAATTTGAACAGTGGTGGTAGGATCTCTTGTGAGTCCGCACGGGTAGGTACCACCACTCCGCCTATTTCTGCCGTGAAGCAGTAATGCGTTTCGGTTTGAAGGGTGGGGCAGCCGTTGTAACTATACTGAGACCTTAGAAGTTATATCTCAAGGTGGTTGGCGCATTTACGTTGTAGATGTCTATGGGCTCCAGTAACCACTTAACGTCAGGTATGCTGTGAGCTCGACCACCCATCTAAAAAAAAAAATAAGAAAAAAAAGTTAGGTATGACTTTAAACAAAAGTGCGCGATATTATGAAAGATGAAGAGAAAAACTTCAATAAGATCAATAATAAATTACAGTTCCAGAAGCGTCCATTATATGCACATCTATCTAGTCGAACGATTGGATTTATATTTGCAAGGGTGCTAGATTCAGCTGAATCAAGAGTGCAATATACATTAAGAAATTTGTTTGCGTTTTTGTTATTTATAAATTAATGAGCGGTTTCTTCAGGTGGAAGGAGCCCGTATAGCACAAGCGTTGGTAGAACAACCAGCACTAAAAGAAATGAATGCTCGACCCAACCCACATCGTAACCCTGGTTGCGAGGAGCATGAGTTGATGTCTTTCGAACACTTGGAATGTCAAGCCCGGCATCATACTCTGACCATCTATCATCCAGTAGGAACTTGCGCTATGGGCCCGCCCGACAATCCAGAGGCTGTTGTGGATGCAAGATTACGGGTACGAATGGTATCTTCATTAGATTTGTATGTAAATATTAAAGGTTCTAATTTAAAACCAACCATTGATCTGTTTTAGACAAACAAACGATTAAGTACAGAGGTATAAATGAATTCACTTAAACTTGCGGATAAAGCAATGGATTTTATATATTTTTTTTGCTTATATTGATGGACGAGTTCACGGCCCACCTGATTTTAAGTAGTTACCGGAGCCCAGAGACATCTAAAACGTAAATGCCACATACCTTAAGATATGAGATCTAATGTCAAAGTATAGTTACAACGGCTGTCCCACCCTTCAAGCCGAAACGCATTACTGCTTCACGACAGAAATAGGTAGGGTGGTGGTACCTACCCGTGCGGNTTTTGCTTATATTGATGGACGAGTTCACGGCCCACCTGATTTTAAGTAGTTACCGGAGCCCAGAGACATCTAAAACGTAAATGCCACATACCTTAAGATATGAGATCTAATGTCAAAGTATAGTTACAACGGCTGTCCCACCCTTCAAGCCGAAACGCATTACTGCTTCACGACAGAAATAGGTAGGGTGGTGGTACCTACCCGTGCGGACTCACAGGACGTCCTACCACTAGTTATTGCGCAAATAACATACGAGTGCACCAGACGTCTTATCCTTTAGGCCACGATGACTTTGATGCAGTATTATTAGTAGTCCTTTAAAACACATTTTACAACTTGAATCATTCCTAAAGCAATGTTCTCAGGTTTACGGCATTCGAAATTTACGAGTTATTGACGGAAGTATAATGCCGACAATTGTTAGCGGGAATACGAATGCACCGATAATAATGATAGCTGAGAAAGCATCGGACATGATCAAAGAGGACTGGTCGAATTTACCTCAAGAGATTATTACTGAATGCCCCAAAACAAATAATGTCGAAAGCAAAACTGCTTACTTTGATGAACCAAGCAAGATGCAGACTACGCCCTATAGATTAGATGTATTTAATGAAACAACCAATTTATTTCCTAACTTAGCGGATACAATAAAAATTACTGACCGAGTCAAAAGAATTCACAAAAACAAAGAACCAGGATTTGAAAGTGACAAAAAATCTGAAGAAGCTTCTGTCAAAGCATTACCCGCAAACCCCTATAAAATTAAGTCAGGGTTGAATATAAGAAATGATTTTGGGACAGTCAGTCCATACGCTGAGGATGATATTCCTCCATTTTTGCCGCCACCGCCGCCTCCATCTAGGCATGAGAATGTCTACATCCCGCATGTTATGTATCCGCAAGTAGTTGAAGGAGTATTATATAAACCTAATCGAAAAAAGTCCAGACCAAATATTTTCGATACAAGATTCAAACAGAAGAACAATTTATGGAACAAAATAAAATTTTATCGCAAAGATCCGAACAAAGTTAATTTAAATAGCAGCAACAATTTGTTTTATGAAACCAAAGAAATAATTACTCCTGACGGCGAGAAAAAATGTAAAATATGGTTGTATTACAACGGTGTGAAATATGAACTACTATAAATTTAATAAAATTTTATTTTTCTTTCATGCAGTTTTTATTTGGTGACGATTAAATACACGACTTCTTCATACTCTTCCAAATTAATGACAAATAAAATACCTTCTCTCTGAACTCTGAAATGTCATCATTGATACGAGTACTTACAAGCGAGGGTAATTTTAGCACAGAGGCAGGGTAAGCTCGTCTCTGCCCTTTTTTAACACATAAAAACCACATAATATTTGCTGTTAAAATACGTAACGAACCCATGCTAATATTTAAATAGCGAATGTTTGTTTGCGAGTTTGTTTGTCATTCTTTCACATCGAAATGAAGCAAAGGCAATCCGTTGCGATCTAAGTTTTAGATCAGTAGACTGATATAGGCTACGTTTTACCCTAAAAAGACATCATATACCCACGCTAAGCTATTATATTATCTCTAAAAAAAATACGTGACACTTTAGAATAGTTAACTGACACTTTTTCTTGAACGCGCAGGCGAAGTCGCAGGTAATGTTTGTTCTACTCTTGTCGCAAGGGCACCTAGCTCATGAAAGGTTCACAAACCCAGCATTCTGCCTATTTCTGTTGCGTAAAAGTTATGCATCCAATTTCTATACACTACGAGTGAAATTGAGACCTCGTTCTATATCTTAAAGTGGGTGGCGGAATTTAAGATGTGATATCTGCAGGCTCCGGTATTCACTTAAAACCAAGTAGGACATGAACTCGTCTACCTATAGGGTTTAATAAATAAACCAGCACTTATCATATCAAAACAAAGAGTCCGTACGGTAGGTATCACCGCCCTGCCTATTTCTGCCGTGAAGGAGTAATGCGTTTCGGTTTGAAGGGTGGGGCAAGCGTTATTTTATAACTACACTGAGACCTTAGAACTTATATCTCAAGGTGGGTGGCGCATTTACGTTGTATATGTCTATGGGCTCCAGTACCTAACCTAACCACTTAACACCAGGTCCTCTTATCTAAGCAATAAAAAAAAAAGTTGAGAGAAAACGTATTTTAAAGACGTGTGTGTGCGGCGCGACTGTGCTCCTGTCGTTGCCAATGTCCACGGGCGGCGAAGACCATTACATTAGGGTGACCCTTTACAACAAACAATAAAATCAGCCAAACTACAATGAAAAAACAATAAAGTACAGAATATGACAATTTGACATAGGTAACAACAACTTCTAAAATATGCAGGTTTTCAGTAAATTAAAGAAAAAACCGTTGAACTTGATTAGATCAATTTTGATTAAGTTTTATGAAGTTTGAAAAAAAAAAAAACGTATCGATAAAATATCAGGCAAACAACAGAAACAATCTTAAAAAAAATATATTTTCATATCTACAGTTCGTAATTTACTCGGACCGATAAACCCAATGAACGTTTGACTGGTTTTAATCGAGGTTAAAACACGTAATTATGTATTGATTATACGAATAATGAATCTCAATTTAGATATGTATTGAACATAAAGTCGAACATTTAAATTAGTAAAATGATAATTCGTAAAACTACATTATGTATATTATGAAACAATAACGAATAATAAAACAAAACGAAGGAATAAAGGGATGGACGAGCTCACGGCCATTTAGTTTTAAGTGGTTATAGGCCCATAGACATCAACAACGTGAATACCGGCACCCGCTTTGAGACAAGAGTTCCAAGTCTCAGTGTTTACCGCCCCGTGCGCGCTCACAAGACGTCCTACGACCAGGAATTGCGGATATTGTAATTTTTATTCCTTCATATTGGAAATGATTCTTGAACATTTTTAAGTACGAATTTCACTGGAAAAATTGTTACCTACCTGCGAGATAGGTACCTACCACCGGGCGGTACTAATTGGTACCTACCACCGGGCGTCACATCGCGTAGGCTACGACGACTTCAAAAAGACGTCTATTAGACACGAATCCAACAAGAAATTTAAATACCGAAATTGGTTGTGGCATACTGTGAACCAGGACCAGCGATTACCAACATCCTGCCCATTTCTGCCGCGAAGCAGTCCTGAATTATAGTCTATGGGACATCATTTCGATATCTTGGTGGGTGGGTGGGTCTTGACGCGACGCCGATTTCGTTCGCTTTTCCTTTAAAAGTTTTTTTTTTATTGCTTAGATGAGTGGACGAGCTCACAGCCCACCTGGTGTTAAGTGGTTACTGAAACCCATAGACATCTACAACGTAAATGCGCCACCCACTTTGAGAAATTAGTTCTAAGGTCTCAGTATAGTTACAACGGCTACCTCACCCTTCGAACCGAAACGCATTACTGCTTCACGGAGGAAATAGGCGGGGTGGTGGTACCTACCCGTGCGGACTCCCAAGAGGTCCTACCACCAGTGTGACTATTGCCCTACATAGAACGCTGCGGTGTAACCGTATTCGTCGAACTCGGCAAAGAGTTCGAACGTGCAACCCATTCCATACATTAGCCCGCTTTGTTTTTCGCCGGATTTTTCAGCGGGTCGCGATTCCGATCCGGTAGTAGATTCATTCGCGAAGCAGCTGCTCTTGAGTTGTTAGGTCTCTAGGTTACAACTACTCTGATCACGTTTTTATAATGATAAACAGAAATAAAATCGGAATTTATTTTTAATGCAATCGGGTCTTATCCTCTAAAAGGTCATCTTATTGGTATCATAAAAAGAACCAGATAATTTATTCATTATATATTCAGTATATACAAGAGATGGGGGGGACATCGTGAGACGCATCAAGTCTTCCCGCTCCGCTCCAACACTACATTTTTGGTGGTAGGACCTCATGTGAGTCCGCACGGGTAGGTACCACCACCCTGCCTATTTCTGCCGTGCAGCAATAATGCGTTTCGGCTTGAAGAGTGGGGCAGCCGTTGTAACTATACTGAGACCTTAGAACTTATATTGCAAGGTGGGTGGCGCTTTTACGTTGTGGATGTCTATGGGCTCCAGTAACCACTTAACATCAGGTGGGCTGTGAGCTCGTCCACCTATCTAAGCAATAAAAAAAAAGAACATGACGATCAGTACCACTCTGTCAAGAGTGACACGATTCAGAAGAAGAAATTCAATACATGGTTATATACTGGACTACTGTAACCTACTAGAATATTAAGACTTTTCAGCATTTATCAGATATTGAAGTTCATAGTAAGCGTCTTCAAGTTGTGAAGAAGTTCTTCAAGTGAAGAACGTTTCCACTGTCGAAATCCCCATGAAATGCATTATTATCATTAAGCTTAGCACGATAATTGAATAACTGCTTAAAGAACAAAACTCATACGAAATAAATCTACGCAATTTGAAAAACCATTTACGTTAATCACTTTCACAGATACAGTTTATTTATCATGTCACGCTAAAGAGATTGTTATGTACCTACCTATGTATATATTTTCAAGAAAATCACTTGTAATTTCGTATGCCCATTGCCTAAAGCCAAATTAAGAAATTGAAAGAAAAAAAAAACATATTAGTGAATTAATCGACAAAAGGTCATGAAAACATATATATTTTAGATGTTTACAATTAAATACATGCGTTCGTACTGATAAGAATTATATTTTTTGCGAATAACCAAGGTCCAATAGACTATATATTAAACAGAGAGACGGGATACGTCGTCAGTACTGGCAGACAATTAACCCGGACTCAACTTGCTTGTGGTTAAGGTTTTGTCACTAAATAACGCGTAAGTGCCATGTTATTTTTTACATAAATTAAAATCAGTCATGTTTGTCTACCACTGAAAGCATTGAAAATAAATTTATATTATAATTACTTAATACATATATTGGAATTGTAAGTTTGTACACTATTATGATTTTTTTAGTTATTCAGAAGCAATTTAACGTAGAATAATGTATATACAAACAACCTAATAAATGAATAAAAATAATAATTATTTAGGTAAAGCTACTTATAAATAGAAAATCTGCGTTAGCTCACAGCCGGTTGGCAGAGTTCCCAGAAGGCTGGCAGCATTTCCACGCTGGATAGCAATGCTAATTCTTTGTGCAAAATACGTACCGGCCTTCTGGTCTCCCGAGGCCTCAAAAAGTTTTTTTTTAAGGTCCTTAAAAAAGCTTTTAGCAGATGGGCCCCAGGGGCCCAAAGTTTCCACCCCAAACGGAACAAAAATNATCTGCGTTAGCTCACAGCCGGTTGGCAGAGTTCCCAGAAGGCTGGCAGCATTTCCACGCTGGATAGCAATGCTAATTCTTTGTGCAAAATACGTACCGGCCTTCTGGTCTCCCGAGGCCTCAAAAAGTTTTTTTTTAAGGTCCTTAAAAAAGCTTTTAGCAGATGGGCCCCAGGGGCCCAAAGTTTCCACCCCAAACGGAACAAAAATGAAATCTTTAGAGAGATTTTCATATTTCCGTCGTTTGAGGCCTTCAGCCGTTGAAGCAGCGCTGCCAGCGTTAGAATTAGTCCCAGGAAGATGTGTAATACATTCTAAGCTGTCTTCAAAGATACACAACTGTGTAGGCCCTATTAGGGTTTAGGGACAGGAACTAGTAAGGACTTCGTAATTTCGATTACATAATATCGTACCATAATTTTTGGTATTTCATTATGTTTTTTCTGTATTCATTCCTTGGTTTAGAGTTTAGATCGTATTGCGATTGTAGGTATCACTATTCTACTTATTTTCTGTCAGGAAACAATGATTTATTTATTTATTTATTTATTAAGTTGCACCAACAAAGTGATCATCAATACAAAACATTGAACAATTGACAAAAGTTCATGGCAGATGTCACCTCAATTATAGGTGCAATCGACAGTGCATTAACATAAAAAAAAAAAAAAAAAAATACAACTATGATTTGATTACATTTCATTCATTGCTTGCTTAAGATTAATTTAATTGGGAGATGATCCGCGACAGATTTTTCCTGTAAGTAGTGAGACAATTAGAAAAAACCGCAAAGGAGCAAGAATTCAATGAACTAAATTTTAATAGTAAACCGTTTTTTTTTTAAATCCTGTTCGGTATATTATTAAATTATTGTATTGTTATCGGTTATACGTGTTTATTAATACGTGTGTCATTTTTGAAGTTATTCAGACGACTTGAATTTAGCGAAAATTACGTTAAAAGATTCAGTTATATAGATAGATAGATAGATGGATCACAGGTTAAGATATTGAAAGGGAATTAAAAATAAGTAAATGTAGTTCTAAACTCTTCTTTTTTTTATTGCTTTGATGTGTGGACGAGGTCACAGCCCACCTGGTGTTAAGTGGTTACCTGAAGCCCAGAAAAATCTACAACGTAAATGCCACCACCCACCTTGAGATATAAGTTCTAAGGTCTCAGTATGTTACAATGGCTACCCCTCCCTTCAAACCGAAACGCTACTGCTTCACGGCAGAAATAGGCGGGGTAGGTACCACCAGGACTCACAAGACGTCCTACCACTAATAATTACGCAAATTATAATTTTGCGGGCTTGATTTTTATTTCACGATGCTATTCCATCACCGTGGAAGTCAATCGTAATATTTGTCAAGTATGTATTTCATTAGAAAAAAATTCGGGATTCGAACGCCGGTACATCGCAAAGGCTAAAGGCTACGACGACTTTTTTGAAATCTTCTCTGCGTATATCTGCAGCGAAGCAATTATGCATTCTTTTTATTTGCAGAGTAGGATATTATCGCCAATTTAAGAGGGAAAATAAATAAAATATTATCATTATTTAATTATTATTAATTGAAACTTCCGACCATATCTGAATGTAGACAACTGCGTTCACGTTATAATGTCTGCAAACTACTAAAGTAAAGATAATAATTCTACGCATAATATTGTGTGGTGCGCCTTAATATTCTAATTTAAAACCTGCAATATTTTTCTTTAATAGCGCGCCATCAGTGACTACATCTTCAAGTTCTTGAGGATCAAATAATTAATAACTAATTAATGAACTTATTATTTGATTTTAGAATTCAGGCCCTAAACGCAAAAGTGGCCTAGCCCACAATTTTTCATATTTGTAATTTATTTAAATATAATAAAATTTGATGCAAAACCGACCTATCACTAGTTTCACCCATAGATAACAGATGGGTTTGTAAACATTATTTTTGCGTGTATTGTTTTTGCCTACGAAAGAGTGTAAAAGTAATTTCAAACCTCACTATCTCCATACTAACTATGATAAGCTTAGGCCACTTCTGCGCGGACGGCCTCAATTATATTATACCTCCAAATTTGCCACCGAATCGTCGTTTGCAATGAACAGATATGTAGGCGCATGCGACATATTAATACGAACTCTTTTTATATTATACTAGCGACCCGCCCTCGCTTCGCTTCGGAAACATTAAAACACACATGAAACCAAAAAAAATAAATAAAAAAATAAATAAAAAAAGTAGCCTATGTTCATCAGGGACAATGTCGGCTTCTAATGGAAAAAGAATTTTTCAAATCGGTCCAGTAGTTTCGGAGCCTATTCGAAACAAACAAACAAACAAATCTTTCCTCTTTATAATATTAGTATAGACTAGCTTTTGCCCACGACTCCGTCCGCGTGGAATAGTTACTTTGGCATAACGCTAAATTTTACCCTCCACTTCATTTACGTAGAAAGTGCAAATATTTTGAAACATTCTTTATCGGTGCTCCACTTGTGTTAGTCTTACCATGATATGTAACCTTCCTCAATAAATAGGCTATCTAAAACTGAAAGAATTTTTCAAATCGGACTAGTAGTTCCTGAGATTAGCGCGTTCAAACAAACCAACAATCTCTTTAGCTTTATGATATTAGTATAGATATGGTTATTTATTGAAGGCGGCTACACAAATAATTCTAAGTATTATTCTTTATTATATGTACGTCGTCGTAGGTAGTTAGGGGAAGTCTGAAAGTGGCACCTGTGACAGACAAGTTCGCGTTTGGGTTGGTATGGACATGTTATGAGACGAAATAATCAATGAGGTTGTTAAGAGAGTATTAACTGTGAATGTGGAAGGCTTTAGCGGAAGAGGTAGACCTAAGAAATTAATGGATGGATTGTGTGGAAGACGATATGTGTAAGAGGAGCGTGAGTGATGAAATGGAAGATAAAGGAGTTCGAGTTCTTTTTGATGTGAAACATCTATAGTCGCACGTAAAACATTTCTGGCGTGGCGACGTATGCCGTGGCGACGCGTCGCCATGTGCAATCGACTGTGCGATTCTCTCCCACTCGATCCGGCGTTAAGCCATCTCTCTCGCTACACTGAGCTCGGATACCTATAGTGTATACTCCGTAGTGTATACAGTGTTGTTTACTACAGTACACATAACCGTGTTTTACTTGAAAACAAATTATTTTTTCGTAATATTTTATTTTATCATTAGACATATTTAGTTCCTATCACAATCTGTTCTTTTCTGCATATTACTTTTACAAAATAATGTCGATGTTTCACACCTGCCAGGCGTCCCGTGACGGCTCACATTTTTTTTTAATTGACAATTCTTTAGTTTCAGTTCAAGATGTTTTGGGCGTGCGACCCAGCGTTAACGACTACTATAGTCAACAGCTACCAGGTAGCGGGGCCGGTCTTCCAGCAGGCCCTGACTACATTCTTGGCTGCGCAATGTGCGATCGCCGGCGATCACTTATGGCCAGCCGATGCTACCGACAAGGTTCTCGAAGGTAATACCGGAAGTTTATCGGAGCAGAGTTCATCCTTATTATCTGGAGCCGCTGCGTGCATCGACAGTGCATTTCCAAAGATCTTTTTTGCCACGTACCATCCGGCTTTGGAATGAACTCCCCTCCACGATGTTTTCCGAGCGCTATGACATGTCCTTCTTCAAACGAGGTTTGCGGAGAGTACTTAATGGTAGGCAGCGGCTTGGCTCTGCCCCTGGCATTGCTGACGTCCATGAGCGACGGTGACCACTTACCATCAGGTGGGCCGTATGCTCGTCTGCGTACAACAGCAATAAAAAAATACATATATATTTTAATATCTATTTTATTTATTTTAAACTGACTTCAAAACATGAGGAGGTTCTCAATTCGGCTGTTTTTTTTTACGTGTTACCACAGAACTTTTTTTTTATGATTTTGAAGACTTTTGCTTTTCATTTGGTTCCATTTAAATTTTATCAAGATCTGCCGGTGGTTTTTGATTCATTCTTAATGCTTCTTAATGAATTAATTTCGACTACATTAATAATTATTTTCTTATTTGAGTTGAATACGGTTTTCATTATTGTTCAAATTTTATAATATTTGTTGTTGTCTTCTGTCTTCGCAAATATGGATTAGAATTTTGTGATGAAAGCACCTAACTTCTACATAAAGAAACCATAAAAAATTTACATAATGACGACATTGAAATAGCTTTGTTTTTTTCGCCCGAAAAAATATTCAAAGAAATTATCAAAGTTTTAATGAAAATTATTTTCGATTCCGTCGCGTGTTTTAAAAGAACTAAGCGCACTCACAGATCAACAGAAACACGTCTGTACTGCATATTATTTAGTGATCTTTTTACGTGTTTTCTTTGTTCGCATTAGAGCATAACATAAAACGCGGAATAGTTTTGACGAAGAGTTTTATTTTTACGGAAACTCCCGCACCAAGACGCAGTACCTACTGTTATTCGAAATATAACTCGTAGCTGCCTATAAGCATTCAGTAGAGAATGGTAAAAAAACCCAATCTCAAACCAACGATGCCTGAGATAAGCTAATTAACGTCAATTTGTTAAATAATCTATTTGACATTAATGATAGATAACCTCTTTTGTCAATATTACGTATTATATCCTTAGCGGTAAAAACAAAACGTACATTATGTTACGAGATTTTTGAAGAGACAATTATTTTATTAAAATTTTTTTTTTTGCTTTTATTGACAGACTAACATACGGCCCATGTGATGATAGGTAGGCACTGTCGCTCATGGACGTCACTAGTGCAAAATTTGTTTTAATAATGCATAGGACTCTCGAAAAACGAAGAAAATACTAGGCTTTACATTTATTATTTATTTAGTTATTAGTAACATTGTACCAGGAATGCTATTGTAGAATGCTATTGTAGCATGATGTTGGAAATGTTTCAATTCAGCTCGCAGTCCAGCTAGAGTTAAGTGGTTGCTGTAGCCCATAGACATCAAAAAGTGATTGTCGTCGTACATCTTGAGACATGAGGTCGTAGTTTAAATTTTAGTCTGAAATGACTGTACCATCCTACAAACAGGATCGCCTGATTGCTACGAAGCAAAAACAGAGGGAATGGTGGTGTACTTATCCTCATTCTAATTCTGGCTAATTTTACCGCAAAACAGTCATGTGACTCGGTTTGAACAGTAGAACAGCGAACTGTGTGAATTTTAGGGAATGAAAATGGTATTTTTTTTANTTTTATTTTTACGGAAACTCCCGCACCAAGACGCAGTACCTACTGTTATTCGAAATATAACTCGTAGCTGCCTATAAGCATTCAGTAGAGAATGGTAAAAAAACCCAATCTCAAACCAACGATGCCTGAGATAAGCTAATTAACGTCAATTTGTTAAATAATCTATTTGACATTAATGATAGATAACCTCTTTTGTCAATATTACGTATTATATCCTTAGCGGTAAAAACAAAACGTACATTATGTTACGAGATTTTTGAAGAGACAATTATTTTATTAAAATTTTTTTTTTTGCTTTTATTGACAGACTAACATACGGCCCATGTGATGATAGGTAGGCACTGTCGCTCATGGACGTCACTAGTGCAAAATTTGTTTTAATAATGCATAGGACTCTCGAAAAACGAAGAAAATACTAGGCTTTACATTTATTATTTATTTAGTTATTAGTAACATTGTACCAGGAATGCTATTGTAGAATGCTATTGTAGCATGATGTTGGAAATGTTTCAATTCAGCTCGCAGTCCAGCTAGAGTTAAGTGGTTGCTGTAGCCCATAGACATCAAAAAGTGATTGTCGTCGTACATCTTGAGACATGAGGTCGTAGTTTAAATTTTAGTCTGAAATGACTGTACCATCCTACAAACAGGATCGCCTGATTGCTACGAAGCAAAAACAGAGGGAATGGTGGTGTACTTATCCTCATTCTAATTCTGGCTAATTTTACCGCAAAACAGTCATGTGACTCGGTTTGAACAGTAGAACAGCGAACTGTGTGAATTTTAGGGAATGAAAATGGTATTTTTTTTATTTTAGATCCAAACTATGACTTCATCGTCGTCGGAGCTGGTTCCGCCGGATCGGCTGTCGCCAATCGTCTTAGCGAAATATCTGACTGGAAAGTGCTTTTAGTCGAAGCCGGTGGTAATCCTACATTGGCAACCGAGGTGCGTATTTATTATTCCGAAATCTAATAAACTACAATCTGATACATTGATAGCGTAATTAATACAATTCATCTCATTACAGATACCGCAACCTTACTACAGTAATATGGGCACATCAGAAGACTGGGCTTACCATACTGAACCACAGGAAGGGGCTTGTCGTGCCTACAAAAACAAGGGATGCGCTTGGCCACGTGGTAAGGTGCTCGGCGGAAGCAGCAGCATCAATTTGATGTTTTACGTTCGAGGTAACAAGGCTGATTACGACGAATGGGCCGCCGATGGAAACGAAGGCTGGAGTTTCGAGGACGTCTTGCCCTACTTTAAGAAAAGTGAAAGCTTCATGGGTAAATTTGACGCGGAGGCGACTAAATACCACAGCAAGGGCGGTTATCTCAGTGTAGCTTCTGACGATAATATGCACGAAATCGAAGATTTGATAATCAAGGCTGCAGTAGAATTAGGACTGAAGAACTTGACCGACTGCAACGGTGACAGCCAAATTGGAGTTATGAAATCGTTCACAACCACCAAGGGTGGAACAAGGTTCAGTACGGCCAGAGCTTTCCTTAGCCCTATCAAGGACAGGAAGAACCTCCATGTCATCAAGAACGCTATTGCCACCAAAATTGTTTTTAAGCCCGGTACCAACATAGTCAGCGGTGTTTTGTTAAACAAAGGTGGGCGCGATATTGCTGTAAATGTAAGGAAAGAAGTTGTCGTTTCCGCTGGTGCTATNAAATTTTAGTCTGAAATGACTGTACCATCCTACAAACAGGATCGCCTGATTGCTACGAAGCAAAAACAGAGGGAATGGTGGTGTACTTATCCTCATTCTAATTCTGGCTAATTTTACCGCAAAACAGTCATGTGACTCGGTTTGAACAGTAGAACAGCGAACTGTGTGAATTTTAGGGAATGAAAATGGTATTTTTTTTATTTTAGATCCAAACTATGACTTCATCGTCGTCGGAGCTGGTTCCGCCGGATCGGCTGTCGCCAATCGTCTTAGCGAAATATCTGACTGGAAAGTGCTTTTAGTCGAAGCCGGTGGTAATCCTACATTGGCAACCGAGGTGCGTATTTATTATTCCGAAATCTAATAAACTACAATCTGATACATTGATAGCGTAATTAATACAATTCATCTCATTACAGATACCGCAACCTTACTACAGTAATATGGGCACATCAGAAGACTGGGCTTACCATACTGAACCACAGGAAGGGGCTTGTCGTGCCTACAAAAACAAGGGATGCGCTTGGCCACGTGGTAAGGTGCTCGGCGGAAGCAGCAGCATCAATTTGATGTTTTACGTTCGAGGTAACAAGGCTGATTACGACGAATGGGCCGCCGATGGAAACGAAGGCTGGAGTTTCGAGGACGTCTTGCCCTACTTTAAGAAAAGTGAAAGCTTCATGGGTAAATTTGACGCGGAGGCGACTAAATACCACAGCAAGGGCGGTTATCTCAGTGTAGCTTCTGACGATAATATGCACGAAATCGAAGATTTGATAATCAAGGCTGCAGTAGAATTAGGACTGAAGAACTTGACCGACTGCAACGGTGACAGCCAAATTGGAGTTATGAAATCGTTCACAACCACCAAGGGTGGAACAAGGTTCAGTACGGCCAGAGCTTTCCTTAGCCCTATCAAGGACAGGAAGAACCTCCATGTCATCAAGAACGCTATTGCCACCAAAATTGTTTTTAAGCCCGGTACCAACATAGTCAGCGGTGTTTTGTTAAACAAAGGTGGGCGCGATATTGCTGTAAATGTAAGGAAAGAAGTTGTCGTTTCCGCTGGTGCTATTAACTCCCCACAGCTGTTGTTGCTCTCCGGAATTGGACCTCGCAAGCACTTGGAAGACCTAAACATTGAAGTTAAAGCCGATTTACCTGTCGGAGAAAACTTGCAGGACCATTTGTTCGTACCCGTCTTCTATACCAAACCTGGAGACAAGAAAGCTACTACCTTGCCTAATATTATCTCTACTTTCATTGAATACTTCTTGCACAATACTGGCGACTTAATCGACACCAGCCCACACAGAGTTATCGCTTTCGAAAACACAACCGACCCGAACTCTCCTGCTTCTGACATGCAGTACCACTACTTGATATTCCCTCCAAGCTCCTACAACTTATTGGACATGTTCCGTAAGCACGGTTTAAGCGAAGAAGTCCACGATAAGTTCCGTAAAATGAACGAGAACAAATACACCATGCTCGTTTACAATACTTTGTTGAAACCCAAATCTGCGGGTAGATTGTTATTGAAGACCAAGAATCCATTCGACAAGCCATTATTGTATGCTGATTACTACAAGGATATCGAAGATTTGTACACTGTTATCAGGGCTTTCAAACAGCATAGTTTGAGATTGGGCGAGACCAAAGCCTTCAAGGAATCTGGATTTAAGCTGGAATGGATTGAGTTGGATGCCTGTAAAAGGTTTGATAAGAACAGCGACGAATTCCTAGAATGTATTGCTAGGGAAATTACATTCTCATTGTACCACCCAACGAGTACGGTGAAGATGGGGGCCGATGGTGACCCGACCTCCGTAGTGGACACGAAATTGAGGGTTCGAAACGTTACCGGCCTCAGAGTAATGGACGCTAGTATAATGCCTTCCGTAATCAGAGGTAATACTAACGCTCCTTCTATCATGATCGGTGAGAAAGGAGCTGACATGATCAAGAAGCACTGGCTGCACACGCACACCGAACTATAAAACAACAATTAAAACACAAAATTTTAACTTATTTGTGAAACTTAAATAATTTAAAATGTAACCTTGTTATGTTTAATAAAATTTATTGTTACTAACATTTTACTTTCATTCCATTTCAGAACTTTGATAGCGCTTTTTTTTAATGATTACCTTAAATTTCGCTGCCCTTAGTTTAATTCAAAGAGAAACGTGTTTTACGAAGCATTCGTTGAATCTGTGATGTTGTGATATTTTGAAGTTTATTTGTTTGTAAAGGTTGAGGGGTTAATGACCTACCTTAAATTTCGCTGTCATTAGTTTAATCTATATATTAATACGTGAAGCAAAAACTTTGTATTCCTTTTTACGAAAATTGCGCGGACGGAGGAGTATGAAATTTTCCACACTTATAGAGAATATAGAGAAGCAGTGCACAATGCTAATATTTTTTTTAAATAATGCATAAAAGATACATTAAATCAATTAAGAAAACATTACACACACTACTAACCATGTATTTGACGCACACACACACGCATTATTGTCAAACTTTTGTTCTTGACGTCTGTGGTCAAATTGAGAATAGATTAAATATTGTTTGTCTTTATTATTATTTTTTTATAGTGTATGTAGCCTTGGCGAAATTTGTGATTATAGAAGTATAAAATACAATCATAATAGTGTACAAACTTACAATTCCAATTAATTATAGTCGAATTTCGACTACTGCGGGTCCTCTAGTTCAAAGAGAAACGTGTTTTACGAAGCACATTCATTAGTTGAATCTGTGATGTTGCGAAATTTTGAAGTTTGTTTGTAAAGGTTGAAGGGTTAATAGATTGAGGCCAAATTATGAACACAGACGAAGATTGTGTTATCATTTGGTTAACAATAACAGTAACACAATAAATATAATTGCTTTACACATTTATAAGTTAGATCAAATTAATAGTCAATAGAAACTGTTTTAAACATCTTGTGTAAATTTTCCTGATCGAATAATATAAAAAAAAAATTGTGTTCGATAAAGCGGTAAGTTTGATCATCAATATAATTAAACTGCTTTTACGGTTTAGCCTCGCGCTTATTAATTATTTATCATTTAATACTTTTTATTAATAGCAAAATATGTCGTATTATAAAAGTGGGTTTAATTTAGTCTATGGCTCGCAAAAACCGAAGAAAGTATTAATGATCGGTATTATTATATTATTGTATGTATTCCGTAAATTTTTTTTCAAAACTTTTTTTTATAGTATTTGTATTGTAAGCCCGTACTGGTAGGCCACACCGTCTCATTCATTTTTATCACGATGCAGTCGTGGTTTTACCATTGAGACAGTTGTTTTGTACTGTTAGACTTCGATCTCAAGTCTCAAGATGTGTTATGGGATTTACGTTTTGATGTCTATGGGCTTCGTTAAGGTTACTTAAAATTAGGTGAGTAGTGGTCTCGTTCCACTGTTTAAACACACACGGAGGTGACCACTTCGCAGAAGACATGGAAAGATGGTGATAACTTGAAGTCGTCGTGGCCTAAAGGATAAGACGCTCAGTGCATTCGTATCGAGCGATGCGCATGTGCCGGTGTTCGAATCCCGCCGGCAAGTACCGTTTTTTTTTTTAAATACGTACTTAGCACATTTTTACGAATGACGCACATGATGATAGGGTAACATCGTGTAATAAAAATCAAACTCGTAAAAATTTTAATTTTTTGTAATTACTGGCGGTTAAGCGTCTTGTGAGGCCGCACGGGTACTTTCATTCACCTCGCCTACTTCTGTCGTTGAGACTTAGAACGCATGTCTCAAGTCGGGTGGTGGCATTTACGGTGGCGCTGTCTATGGGCTCTCGTAGCCACTTAACACCGAGCGGGCCTAATAAAGTAATAAATAAAAATAAAAAAAACATATCCCACTGGGCGCACAAGAACCTTACCACCAAACCGCTTGACTAGGCGGTGTAGAATTTTTTTATATTGTATCATGGGTTGACGAGCTCACATCCCACCTGGTGTTAAGTGGTTACTGGAGCCCATAGACGTCTAAAACGTAAATGCGCCACCAACCTTTAGATATAAGTTCTAAGGTCACATTATAGTTACAACGGCTGCCCCACCCTTCAAACCGAAACGCATTACTGCTTCACGGCAGAAATAGGCAGGATGGTGGTACCTACCCGTGCGGACTCACAAGAGGTCCTACCACCAGTAAAGAATATGTATGTATGTTTTTGTGGTAATACAAAATGTATACACTAAGAGGCGCGATAAAGCCATGACAATATCTTTAATTATCTCCACGACTTGCGAATATCTTTGAAAATACTACACTAATTTATCTGAAACATGTTTTAGTCAACTTGCAAAACTTTTTATAGGTTCGTGTGAAACATGTGGGCGTGTGATCCGACGTTCACTTCGACGGTGATGGACAGTTACGGAGACGTGGTTGGGTCCCCGTTCGCTCAAGCACTCACTAGTTTCCTCGCAGCGCAGTGTGCTCTTGTTGGAGACCATCTGTGGCCAGAGGATGCTATTGACTCTGTTGTCAATGGTAAACATGACGAGATTATTTTTTATACATGGAAAGGTTATATACAACGTTCATTTTAAAGAACATTTTACGACATTTACGTCGTGGATCTCTATGGGCTCCAGTAGCCACTTAGCACCAGGTGGGCTGTGAGCTCGTTCACCCATCTAAGCAAAAAAAAAACCAAATATTCACGACCAATCTTATTATTTTCAGGTAGTAGCTACGATTTTGTGGTGGTCGGAGCAGGATCAGCCGGCTCAGTCGTAGCAAGCCGTTTAAGTGAAGTCTCAGAATGGAAAGTATTACTAGTGGAAGCTGGAGGAAATCCTACTTTAACTACAGAGGTGATAATTAGATATTAACAATCCCTATACACAAGCATATTTGGTTTAATCATTTAAAATTCACATATTTTAGATACCACAAGTATTTTACAACAACATGGGAACTAAAGAAGATTGGAATTACAAGACCGAACCGCAATCTGGCGCATGTCTCAGTTATAACAATAAAGCATGCGCCTGGCCTAGAGGAAAAACTCTAGGTGGAACCAGTAGTATCAATGCTCAATTTTATGTCAGAGGAAACAAATTAGACTACAATGAATGGGGAGACAACGGTAACTACGGTTGGAGCTACGAAGATGTTCTGTCTTACTTTAAAAAAAGTGAAAAATATATGGGAGATATTTCAGCAAATGATACCTATCATAGCACAGAAGGTGAATTATATGTCACAAAAGATAAAAATTTAACGCCTTGGGAAGAGTTAGTTCTTAAAGCATACCGAGAGCTAGGAGTACAAAATGTAGACGACATAAACGGAGAAAATCAAATGGGTGTAACACAAAGTCAAATTACCGTTTATAACAAAACAAGAATGAGTACCGCTAGAGCATTTCTTTCGCCAATTCGAAATAGAAACAATTTGCATGTTATCAAAAATACAATGGCTACAAAAATCCTATTTAAAGAGAATAATAATATCGTAAACGGAATTTTGTTACACAGAAATGGACATGATTTCATTATTAATGTGAAAAAAGAACTAATATTGTCAGCAGGAGCAATTAATTCACCGCAACTTTTAATGTTGTCCGGTATTGGGCCACAAGAAGACTTAAACGCCCTAAATATTTCCGTAAAAGCTGATTTGCAAGTCGGAAAAAACTTGCAAGATCATGTCTTTGTGCCAATAATATATACAGCACCCGTAAATGAATCAGAGCATATTACTCCAAGCATTATAACACAAAACTTCTACGATTACATGGTGAATAAACAAGGCTTATTGTGTGACACCAGTCCTCATAGAATTATAGCCTTTGTCAACACCACTGATTCGACTGCCACCAGTCCCGACTTACAATTTCATCATGTTGTATTTCCTCCAAATATTCATTATCTATTAGATATGTTCGAAAAGCACGGGCTCAAGAGCGATATCGTAGAGCAATTCCGTGAAATGAATAAAAATAAATACGCGGTGATTATATATAATGTTTTATTGAAACCGAAATCCCGAGGAAAAATTTCGCTTCAAAGCGAAAATCCATTTGATCGTCCATTGATATACGCTAATTATTTTAATGACACTGAAGACATGAAGACGCTGATAAGAGGTATGAGAAAATATTCTTTGAAATTAGGCGAAACAGACACTTTCAAACAAGCAGGATTACATTTAGAATGGTTTAAGATACCAGCATGTGATAGCCTTGATAAAACAAGTGACGAATTTTTGGAGTGCGTTTCAAGAGAGTTAACGTTTTCTTTGTATCACCCAACGGGCACGGTCAAAATGGGACCACAGGGCGATCCTACAGCAATAGTGACACCTGATTTAAAAGTACGAAATATCGAAAATTTAAGAGTAATCGATGCTGGAATTATGTATTCGATTGTCAGAGGTAATACCAATGCACCAACAATCATGATTGGAGAAAAAGGTGCAGAGCTTATAAAGAAATATTGGCGCAACGCTATCGTATAAATAATAGAGATTTAAAAAGTTTATAATTGAGTCGACTATTATCAAAGCCGGCAATCTGACTTTTGGACAATGATTGGTAAATCAGAAAAACCAATTATTGACTTTGTATTCCATTGGCAGTCACAAAACTCTTCGGAACGACATCTTAGATAAATAACAGGTTAAGTATTAACCTTTATTTAATGCAGGTTTTGAACCGTATTCTTTGAAGGAGACGATTATATTCAAATCAATCTGTATTGACATATCAATAAATTTTTTTTGTCCAAATGCACAGATTGCCACCTTTGATAATAGACGACTCAATTATGACCTGTGATTACTAACGCTGTCGAAAAACAGAAAAAATATCCAAAAAGGTCCTTCTTCGAAGTGAACGCGCCAATTGTTATCTTCAAAGAGTTGAATTTAACTAAATTCCATTCGCCCCATTTGGAGACCTACCCCTGAAAGTTTTCCATTTCAACTCGGGTAAATACGGAAACTTACACGGCTTTTACGACACAAATACGGCTTTACCTAGAAAGATGTGCCGTAAGACGTAGCTAGGGTATTTGTGGTACGAAGTACGTCGGTAACTAAATAGATACGTTCAGGTTACTAGGTAACTTGACGTTGTCACAACTGCAGCATTGATAGTCAAATTGGATCATTGAACAAACACTACCAATTTATTAATAAACGTTTTGCATGAATAAAAATAAAATAAAACTTTGTTTAATATTCTTCAATTTCCTGTCCATCTTGATATACGAAAACAAGCAGAAGCGCAACTGTGTAAACGTTTAAACATTTTTGTGGAAAACCATGAAATTGTGAGACTTCCGCCTAGATGAAAGCCGTATGGAAGGGGCAGTAGGCGAAGTATATTGAAGTTAAACTGACTGAGAACCCTTTGCATTAAGTGTACTGGGAATAAGCCTACCCACCTAAAGCATTTTTTTGTCATAGCCCCTTTGTAATCAACTTTGGATGAGAAAATTTAGTTAGTGAGCACATAAACAAAAAACCTAGGTTTGTGTCTCACAATAGTTATAAGTATCTTCTGATTTATTTTTATTTTTTATTGCTTAAATGGGTGGACGAGCTCACGGCCATCTGGTGTTAAGTGGTTACCGGAGCCCTTATCATCTACAACATAAATGCCGCCACCCACCTTGAGACATTAGTTGTAAGGTCATACTTTTAACAGTACAACGGCTGCCCCACCCTTCAAACGCATTACTGCTTCACAGTGTGTAGAGCGTGGACTGTATTTTGTGCTGGTCGCTTCAATATTTCGATATATTCAGAGAGAAGGTTATTTTTATTTTATTTTAATGTAGTTACAACACGTGCACGTACGACCTGAATTGTTGATCGACTTACAATGACTGTTTTGTCAAAATTATTATTCTATTTCAAAATTCAAAAAATAGTAATAAAAACTTCATGTTTAGAATTGCTCTAAACATACTGCCGCCTGGGCAAAAATAAATTTGTACATAACAAAACTTATTCTTATATCGCAAACATCTTGTTAGTTACAATGTTTTTCTAGAAGCTAGAACATTAATTAAATAATTCGCATGTAATTAAGTATTACAATAACACTATCTTGTCATTAACATCAACTTATGTTAACCTTATATTAACTCATGAAATACAATAACATTAACTAAACATTAACTACATTTTTATTAAAAACTAGCGACCCGCCCTCGCTTCGCTTCGGAAACATTAAAACACACATGAAACCAAAAAAAAAAAAAAAAAGTAGCCTATGTTCATCAGGGACAATGTCGGCTTCTAATGGAAAAAGAATTTTTCAAATCGGTCCAGTAGTTTCGGAGCCTATTCGAAACAAACAAACAAACAAATCTTTCCTCTTAATAATATTAGTATAGAAAATACAAAAATAACCATATTTCTTATTAAAACACAATGTGATATTACATAAAATAGTTTGTATGGATCGATTAAATTATATTTACCATCAGCAGTTCTGAGCTGCAATGCTCGGACTTTACAATCGTCACCAGGATATAATTTTGTTACACGTGCCACGGGCCACACCAAAGGAGGAGAATTAGGCTCTTTCATTAGTACAAGTGCTCCCTCAGTTACATTGGCCATGGGTTTATACCATTTATTCCTATTTTGTAATGTATTTAAATAATATTTATGCCAAGCATTCCAAAATCTCTGCTGTAGCAAAGTGCATTTTTCCAGTAATTAAGTGTGTTTACATTACATTCAGAAACATTGTGTTCCGGATATGTTGTAAGAGCTGTCCCCACTAAAAATGACCAGGTGTCAGGCAGCAATAATCAATAACATCCTCAGAAAGAGGTAAAATAGGACTCGAATTAAGCACTGCCTCTATTTGGCATAAAACAGTGTACAACTGCTCATAAGATAATTCAGCATTTAATACAATTCTTTTGAGATGAAATTTCATACTTCTCACCGCAGCTTCTGCAAGTCCAGCAAATACAGGTGCGTAGCTTGGCGTAAAATGGAACTTTATACCTTCTTTGGCCGCATGGGCTTGCATCAGCATTTGGGGGTTAATAGAATTATTAAACTTGTACAGTTCAGCAAGTTGGTTCCTTGCCCCACGAAAGCAACCACCGTTGTCGCAATAGACGTCGCTGGGCAAGCCTCTTCTGCTGATGAATCGTTTAAGAGATGTCAAAAAAGCATCTATAGAAATATCAAAGGTTAATTCCAAATGAATTGCCTTAGTAACAAAGCAAACATAAACACAACCGTAGCCTTTAGTGATAACCGCTCTACGGATTTTTGAGTTTTTTATATTAACTGGCCCAGCGAAATCGATGCCGACCCTTTGAAATGGTCTGCATGCCGTGACACGAGGTTGAGGCAAGGATCCCATCAGTTGCTTAGCTGCATCAGCTTTGAATCTAAAGCATACCAAACATTTATGAGTCACCTTTTTAACCTGTCTCATGCCGTTAATTAACCAGTATTTTTGGTTTAAATTAGATAAGAGTGACTTAGGTCCAGCATGTAACAGTCTAATATGTTCACTATGTATAATCAACGCAGTTATGCGAGATTTTTTTGAAAGAATGATAGGATGTTTTTGTGCAAGAGGTATGTCAGAGTTATCTAATCGACCGCCTACCCTAATCAAGCCATTTTCATCTAAAAATGGATGTAAAGTTTTAAGGAAACCATGCTCGATGTTACCCTTTTGCAATGCACTGATTTTATTATTGAAATGCACTGACTGCTCGTGCTTTATTATAAAATGTAACGCGTGCTGTAACTCATCATGATTAAGCACCTTATCCTCAATTTTTGAATAGCCTTTTAAATTACGACAAAATCTGAAAACGTAAGCTACTATTCTCGTCATTTCGTTTATATCAGAATACTTATCTAAGAACTGGAAGATATTGGAGTCAGCAACTGCAGTAAGTATTACCTTTTCTTGCGATGACTTCTCTGCTTTCATCTCGGGTAAATTTGTAGGTAAATTTATGTTTTCTACATCAAATTCATACTCACACTGCAAAAAGTTGGGTCCCTGCCACCAGTGTGCGCAATTAGGAAGCTCAGGAGGGTTGATACCTTTGCTTATCAGGTCAGCAGGGTTGTCTGATGATGGTACATATAGCCAGCACCAATTTTTTGTTTTTTGCTGAATTACACTAACTCTATTCGCAACGTACGCCTGCATTTTAGTTAAATTAGTTTTTATCCAAGCCAATGCTATTTGTGAGTCAATGAATAAATATACATTATGTATTTGAATTTTTTTTGTATAATGTTTCATATACCCTTTCAATAAGTATTGACAAAAGTAATGCATTTAGCTCCAGCCTAGGTATTGTCAGTGGCTTTGTGCGTGGGTTTATTCGCGACTTTGAACAGAGTAAGTGTAATTCAGCCTTACCTGTTATGTCGACCACACGGTATGCACAGCACCCATAGCCAGTAGTACTGGAGGCATCAGAGAATCCAATCAAATGCACCGAAGCTGCACTTTTGGTGTTTATATATCTATCTAGATTGATAGGAGGCATCGCAGCTAAATTATTAGCAAATTGTAGCAAATCATTTACTAAATCATTAGGTAAGCGTTCGTCCCAACCTAAGTTATGAGACCATATTTTTTGTATTATGTCTTTGGCCTTTATTATAATAAGGCTAGCAAAACCCATAGGATCATAAAATCTTGAAATATAACTCAAAACCTCTCTCTTTGTGATCTTAGAGCCTTGAAAGGGTTTTGGGCTGCTTATGGTGAAGCAATCTTTTTTAACGTCTAAAGTGATACCCAAAGCTTTCATGCTAAAACTATCCTTTTCAAGATAAAGCTTGCTGAACTGTTGTTCAGTTTCAGGTGTGTCAGATAAAGTACTGGGTGTATTGGAAGCCCATTTATGCAGATTAAAACTACCATAGCTTAACAACTGGCACAATTGACGTTTAGCTTCAAGCAATTTGTGGGTTAAGGGTAAGTCAACGGTGAACTTATTATTTTCTAGTTTGACTGACTTTGTGAAAATTTGCTCTGACCGCTGTTGTTCTGAATCATCCCCCTCCCAGAACTTTTTAATGCGATCATTTAGATCAAAAAAATTGGTACCCACCTGCGGGATTCGAACACCGTGTTCTGAGAAATTTGTTGAGATGATCCCGTCATCTTGTTTTTACCATCGTACCGTCCGCCATCGGAATAGATTTCATCCTTATTACCTAAAGCTACTACGTTCATCCGCAGTGCGTTTCCTGAGCTTTTATTTGCTAGCAAGCATCTGGATTTAGAATGAATTCCCTCCGCGATATTTCCTGAACGCGTCCTTCTTCAAACGTGTTTTGCGGAGATCACCCAGTGATAGGCAGCGGCTAGGCTATGCTCATACATTACTAACGTCAATGGACAACTTCCTGACGTCAGGTAGACTAGTAGTACATTGGTAGCTCGTCTCGACAAAGACAATAAAAAAAATACTTCCGCTTATTATTAACCTTGTATTTTTAAATTATATTATATGATTATTGACTTTGTAAACAAACGTGTTCTAAGCAAACACATTTCACGTGAAAAATCAATTGGTTCTTGCCAGACAGACATTCAACAAATACATAATATATTTCCATTTCATTACGCTACACAGTATAAAAACACCCTACTTGTGCAAGCTGCCCCACTGGACGCACACACTTGTCAATATCTACTTCAACACTGCTATTGTTTTACTGTGTACTAAATTAAGGTAATTCTTTCACATTCTTTTACATTTTATAGTCGTCGTGGCCTAACGGATAAGACGTCCGATGCATTCGCGTTGAGCGATGCACCGATGTTCGAATCTCAGGCGGCTACCAATTTTTCTAATGAAATACGTACTCAACAAATGTTCACGATTGACTTGGTTCACGGTGAAGGAATAACATCGTGTAATAAAAAAGAAACCCGCAAAAATTATAATTTGCAGAATTTAGTAGGACCTCTTGTGAGTCCGCGCGGGTGGGTACCACCGCCCTGCCTATTTCTGCCGTGAAGCAGTAATGCGTTTCGGTTTGAAGGGTGGAGCAGCCGTTGTAACTATACTGAGACCTTAGAACTTACATCTCAAGGTGGGTGGCGCATTGACGTTGTGGATGTCTATGGGCTCCAGTAACCACTTAACACCAGGTGGGCTGTGAGCTCGTCCACCCATCTAAGCAATAAAAAAAAATAAAAAAAAAATTTGCATACCCGCCGCATTAGAATTTTTTTAAAGACTGAGCTTTCTGAATAATATGCTTTCATATTAGGAAAAAACGGTACAGGGCTAAAAACGAAATAAAGCTATTCACATTTAATATTATCTTTTTATATATTATAGACGGGTGTACAACTTAGTATGCTTATATTTTTGCGTATTATTTATTGCGTATTATGTATTAGATATATTTTATTTGCGTATTTACACGTGGTAGGGTGTATTGTACGAACATCTATATATCAGCAGCCCGATTATTACGGCGAAAAACTCATACCTTTCGAGTATAATTATATTATATTATATATAGTTAATATTGCTTGTTGGACCACTAAAGTGGCGGGTGAAAGGCGATTGCATGCAGCAGAGATGCGAATTTGCGATGGATGTGTGGAGTAACGAGAATAGATAGAATACGGAATGAATATGTTAGAGGAAGTCTGAAAGTGGCACCTGTGACAGAGAAGCTGAGAAGTGCGCGTTTGGGATGGTATGGACATGTGATGAGACGAAATGAAAATGAGTTTGGTAAGAAAATGTTAACTATGAATGTGGAAGGATATAGAGGAAGAGGTAGACCTAAGAACAAATGGATGGATTGTGTGAAAGACGATATGGGCAAGAGGGAAGTGAGCGAAGAAATGGTATATGATAGAAGAGTGCGGAAGGAGAAAACATGTTGCGCCGACCCCAGGTAACTGGGAGAAGGGCAGGATAATGATAGCATGCAATGGGCATTGAATAAAAAAATTGCATTTTTTTATTATATAAAATTAAAGAAAGTAATATGTATTTTGAATAGGTATTCAATGTATATTTAAAATATTTTTAAATCAGTTTCATCATCAATCAGTCAGTCATCGGCGAAAAGCGGAATCGTTTGCTCAAACAATTTTAACTTGTGACATAGCACTCAATTCGTCCTTCTATTAATGTCCTTTCATTTAATAAATAATTGGTATTTTTTCTACAGTACCTAAGAATAATATCTCTTAAAACATGTTCCAATTGTTATTATTACCGCATTAATAAATATGTCTTAAGAGTTCAAGTCATGACTATCTTCATGCGTGTAAAGCTTCATGCTTTGGGTTGAAATGAGAAAAGTGTAACCAATATATACCAAATAACCAAACTGTCATTTGAGTCGTACACAGAGTATATAAAAAAGTATTGGTTTGAATAAAGCCAATGAAGTCCTTATTTAAGCACAAACAATGTTCAAACATATTTAATAAAAATTATTGTTAAAGATAATTTTTCAGTAATTTTTTTTCTGTAATCACCGAACCTACTAGAACCTATAGTCCTAGAAATGGGAACAATAAGAGAAATTAAAACAAAAAGTGGTCAATGCTCATTGAGACTTAAAGTCTTATGTCTGAACGTGGGAGGCGGCATTTAGTTTATGTCAGTCAGCTTCGGTAACTACTTTACAGGTGAGGCAATAACATATTTTAACTCAGAATACTTTCCGTAGGTTCGTGTGAAACATGTCGGCGTGTGATCCGACGTTCACTTCGACGGTGATAGACAGTTACGGAGACGTGGTTGGGACCACGTTCGCTCAAGCACTCACTAGTTTCCTCGCAGCGCAGTGTGCTCTTGTTGGAGATCATCTGTGGCCAGAGGATGCTATTAACTCTGTTGTCGATGGTAAGCATGATGTGATTATTTTTTATACTTGGAAAGGTTGTATACAACGTTCATTTTAAAGAGCATTTTATGAAACATTCACGACAAATCTTATTATTTTCAGGTAGTAGCTATGATTTTGTGGTGGTCGGAGCAGGATCAGCCGGTTCAGTCTTGGCAAACCGTTTAAGTGAAGTCCCAGAATGGAAAGTATTACTAGTGGAAGCTGGAGGAAACCCTACCGTGAACACTGAGGTATATTCTTTAAATAATATAGAGGGTAACCGGTCCCGGACCCGAAATAGCAATAAAGTATATCCTGACGTAAAAAACAAAACCCACATATGACGGAATTCATCTCTGGAAGCACTGAAATCATGAACAGTGCCAATGATTTGAGATGATTTTGACACCCCGTTCGCAATGAGCAGTATTTCTTGAGCGTCCAATTTTCTTCACTAGTTACTGCCTTCGAAGATCAAATTCTTTTTTTTGGCTAGCCATCATAGAACACAAGATATTTGACGGATCCTGAATTTCACTTACGACAGTTTCGAGATAAGCTTGCAAATATACCAGTCTCGAACAACAGCATTGGGAACGTCAGTATCCACAGGCTGCCACCGAGCAATTTCACTCGCTCGGAGGAAGATCTTCCGTTCGTCGTTATCCTTACAACGGCAATAAAAACTAATAGATACTAACTGCTAGCGGTATTTGTTCTGAGCCTGCACGTGTATGTACCACCATACTGCCTATTTCTATTTCTGTCGGTAATACGTTCGAGTTTGAAAAACGGGACAGTCATTACGCAAAAAAAATTGACTTCATCTCAATGAGGCTGGCAGCATTCTAATTTGAATATCTGTGAGTGCCATGAGCATGAACCACCAAAAAAAATACTATATTAATTTTCGTTTTAGTAATTTATTTTGCGTAAATCCGAAGCGCAAACTAAAGGTTGTTAAAAGCATGTTTGATCCGTGTTCCCTCCCATCCTCATATCCTGCGCTCTCATTGTGGATGTTAAGTTGTTACCGAAAGCCATCGACTTCAGCGTATATATAATTCGTGTTGAATACGTACTACTCGTTAACAAAAAAATTAAGTACCTGCCTGCGGGGTTGCAATACCAGCATATTCGCATCGCTCGATACGAATGGACTGACGTCTTATCCTTTAGGCCACGACGACTTTATTTTCATAATGCGACAATCCTGCAATGCAAACTATATTATTGCACGAAAGCGCGCTTCGCTGTGCCATATACTTTTTGCACGCACTACAGTGGGCACTTATTCAAAGTGCCAACAAAACTTATGCATCGTTTCCACGCAGTCAAACGAAATGATGCGTGAATACCGAAATAAACAAAGAACAAACTGTAATTTTTATATTATTTCAGATACCACAAGTCTTTTATAACAACTTGGGCAGTAAAGAAGACTGGGGTTACCGCCCAGAACCGCAATCTGGCGCTTGTCTCAGTTATGAAACTAAAACATGCGCCTGGCCTAGTGGGAAGACACTCGGTGGCTCCGCTAGTATTAATGCTATGTTCTATGTCAGAGGAAACCACATAGACTTCGATGGTTGGGCAGAAGACGGTAACAACGGTTGGAGTTACGAAGATGTTCTTCCTTACTTTAAAAAAAGTGAAAATTTTGTAGCAGATATCTCAGAAAATGATAGATATCATGGCACTAAAGGTGAATTATATACCACAAAAGATAAAAACTTAAAGCCTTTTGAAGAGGTGGTTCTTAAAGCATACCCAGAGTTAGGAGTACAAAATTTAGACGATATAAACGGAGAAAATCAAATGGGCGTAACACAAAGCCAAATTACTGTTTACAACAAAACAAGAATGAGTACCGCTAGAGCGTTCCTTTCGCCAATCCGGAATAGAAACAATTTGCATGTTATCAAAAATACACTGGCTACGAAAATTATATTTAAAGAGAACAGTAATGCCGTTAGTGGAATTATGCTAAACAACAACGGCAAAGAATTTATGGTTAATGTGAACAAAGAGTTGATATTGTCAGCGGGAGCAATTAATTCACCGCACCTTTTAATGTTGTCCGGTATTGGACCTCAAGAACACCTACTTGAACAAAATATTACTGTCAAAATGGATTTAGCGGTTGGAGAAAATCTACAAGATCATGTCTTCGTGCCATTATTGTATACAGCCCCTGCCAAAGAATCTGACGATATTACTATGAGCTTAGTCGTAAACAACTTTTTCGATTACATGGTTAATAAAGAAGGAATACTTTGTGACACCAGTCCGCATAGAATAATTGCATTCGTCAATACCACTGATTCAACTGGTANCAAAATGGATTTAGCGGTTGGAGAAAATCTACAAGATCATGTCTTCGTGCCATTATTGTATACAGCCCCTGCCAAAGAATCTGACGATATTACTATGAGCTTAGTCGTAAACAACTTTTTCGATTACATGGTTAATAAAGAAGGAATACTTTGTGACACCAGTCCGCATAGAATAATTGCATTCGTCAATACCACTGATTCAACTGGTACGAGTCCTGACTTACAATTTCATCACGTTATTTTTACACCTAAAATTCACATTTTACTAGACTTTTTTGAGAAACACGGACTAAATAATGATATTATAGAACAATTCCATGAAATTAACAACAATAAGTTCGCTATGTTAATCTACAATACTTTATTGAAACCAAAATCACGAGGAAAAGTATTACTGCAAAGCAATAACCCATTTGATCGTCCATTGATATACGCCAACTATTTCAATGATAATGAAGACATGAAGACGTTAATAAGGGGTATGAGGAAATTTACTTTGAAATTAGGCGAAACAGACGCCTTCAAACAAGTAGGGTTAGAATTAGAATGGTTTCAAATACCAACCTGTGATAAACTTGATAAAACAAGTGACGAATTTTTGGAGTGCATTTCGAGACACTTAACTTTTTCATTGTATCACCCATCGGGCACCGTAAAAATGGGACCAGAAGACGATCCTAGCGCAGTAGTGACTCCTGAGTTAAAAGTTCGAAATATTGAAAATTTGAGAGTAATTGACGCTAGTGTTATGCCTTCCATTGTAAGAGGTAATACTAACGCAGCGACAATCATGATTGGAGAAAAAGGTGCAGAACTAATCAAACAATCCCACATAAATACAACAGAATAACAACTTTAAAAAAAATCGAGTTAATTCCCTGTACATTCTTAGGATACATCCAAATTTCCATGAAGGCATTAAATGCTGTCTAAGGTTTTGTAAAACCACCTCAAAAATACTTTAATTGTAGCCCTCTAAAACCTCTTCGAGAGCACGATGTTTTAGGGACCACAGTGGATCATAATGTTTCGGACTTCAGCTGTTAAATAACATTTTGCTTCATATCGCCTGCACTCAGCATTAATTTGCATTAATGATCTATAAAACATGGTGGCATGTTCATGTTTGAATGAATAAAAAATTCTCTACGCTACGATTGTGACGGGCAGGACAGAGTGCAAACGTCCCAGAGAACGAAGTCCCACAAAATGGCCGAACCAAATCAGATCCTGTCTGGATATCAAGCTGCACGATGCCCTTCACAAGGCCAAGGATCGCAGCAGATGGAGAACAATTATACATGAAAGAATAATGCAGTGGAGGAGTCACGATCCTCAGTAATAAGGAGAGCGACGCAAAGAAGACGAGGACGTTATTTATAATAAACACAGGTTTTACAAGGACTAAAATAGCTATTGTGATTAAATCTTTAATAGAATACCAATGTACTACAATGGAATTTAAATAGATTAAAAGAAGAAAAACTAAAAAATATCGTTAAAAAGTTTATTAGTGTTTTAATACCTTACTTACTAGATGATTTTTTTGATAACGCCATCTTGTTGTGTCTTTAAAGCGGTTAGTTGCCCTCAATTAAGAAAAATAGTATTATTATTCGCCAATAGATGTCGGGAAGAGTTGATTATTGAAAACACGAATAAAACAACGTTTTCTGAAAATGAATCGTAGCTAGATCGATTTATCACCCCCGAAATCCCCTGTATACTAAATTTTATGAAAATTGTTGGAGCCGTTTCCGAGATTCAGATTATATAAGTATACATATATTAATATACAAGAATTGCTCGTTTAAAGTTATAAGATAAGATACATACAAACACCTACACGCTAGGGTAACGCTGACATAGCCTCTGAAGGCTATCAGCAAAGGTAAGAAAAAAAAAAATACAGCAACTAATTCATATAATGAAATAAACTGAAGAGAAACATAGCAATAAATAATGATCAGGCGCTCAGAAGTACATAAGTATATTATTATAATAGGTAAAAAAAATTTTTTTTTTAATCAACACTCTGATTCTCGCGATCAAACCATATATTAAACTTCATAACTGTAAATATATATATATTTATTGCTTAGATGGGTGGACGAGCTCACAGCCCATAGGCATCTTCGACGTAAATGCCCCACCCACCTTAAGTTCTTAGGTCTCAAGTATAGTTACAAGTATATAAGGTATGCTACCAGTTTCTTTAGCATTATTTTGTAGGTTAGGTAAATTATTTTATGTGGTATGAACTATATCACTAGTGGTACGATCTCTTGTGAGTTCGCACGGGTAGGTACCACCACCCTGCCTATTTCTGCCGTGAAGCAGTAATGCGTGTCGGTTTGAAGGGTGGGGCAGCCGTTGTAGCTATTCTGAGACTTTATAACTCATATCTCATGGTGGGTAGCGGCATTTACATAGGTTCTATGGGCTCCAGTAACCACATAAAACCAAGTGGGCTGTGAGTTCTTCCATCCATCTAAGCCATAAAAGAAGAAAAAAAACTATAGCAGAAACTAAATTTCAATAAAGCTCCATATTCCGTGGACGCTTATGCAGTTCCACTGCTACTACGATTATATTATATCTTTCATATCTATCCGTATAATACGTACTTCAGTCTTGGCAGTATTTAATTTGGCGATATTGAATTATTAATGTATATCTTGCATTTGTATGTTTATTATCGTAACGTAAATGTCATTTTTAGTAGTAGTAGTTTTATTTTTCCAAAGGGAAAGGCAAAGGTATCATACCATACAGCCTAATCTTTTATATATATATTTTTTTATGAAATATGATATTTTAAATGAAATTAAGTTGATTAATATAAAATATGGCATGGCATGAAATGAAATTAATTGAAATGAGATGAGATGATATGATATGGGATATTTTTATGAAAAATGATAATATGGAGTGAAGTGAAATGAAGAATTTGAGACATTAACCAACTGGGATGAAATTAAATGAAACAAGATGAGATGATATGGGATGAAATATAATCTTAGTAAAATGGTGGTCGTTTACTGCGATATTTTCAGTGAACTTTTTGGAGGATCCCGAGAAATTACGTTCAGCGGCTTTGTTTCATTTTCCCACATTTGTGCACTTTCACAGATACTAAACAATTAATAAACCACCTTTATTACACATTTAAACCTGAAGAAACACTAAATAGACAAAATAAAACAAATCGCACAACTTCACTCCTCGCGTTCCCGCCAAAAAGCCTGTCATTTTTATTTCTTCTTCTTCTTATCAGCCCACAGACGTCAACTGCTGGGCGTAGGCCTCCCCCAAGCCTCACCACAAAGACCGGTCCTGCGCTGCCTACATCCGGCGGATCCCCGAGAACCTTAATATAGCGTCGGTCCATCTTGTGGGAGGCCTACCCACGCTACGTATTCCGGTACGCGGTCGCCCCTCAAGAACTTTCTGGCCCCAACGGCCATCCGTTCTAAGAACAATGTCTCCTGCCCACTGCCACTTCAATGTCGCAATCCTTTGGGCTATGTCGGTTACCATGGTTTTCCTGCGAATCTCCTCATTTCTGATTTGATCTCGCAGGGAAACTCCGAGCATAGCCCTCTCCATTGCTCTTTGGGTGACCTTGACCCTTCTCATAAGGCCCATTGTGAGCGACCACGTCTCAGTGCCATATGTCATCACTGGCAACACACACTGGTCAAAGACTTTCGTCTTGAGACACTGTGATATGTGATGTGTGATGAGAAGATTTTACGTAGCTTTCCGAACGCTGCCCATCCGAGCTGGATTCGTCGGTTGACCTCTTTTTCGAAGTTGGACTTACCTAGCTGGACAGTGTGTTCCAGGTAAATATACTCGTCAACAACTTCGAGCGTAGAACTTCCGATCTTTAGTGGAGTGGGCGCTACATGACCCACTCGGATAGAAGCCCTACTGAGGTCTTTGAGCATTGTATTGAGGTTCTCCAGGGTCTCGGCCATAATCACAATATCGTCGGCGAACCGAAGGTGAGTTATGTACTCACCATTGATGTTGATGCCAACAATCCCTTTGCAGTCCAGAACTTTGAAAACACCTTCCAGCGCAGCGGTAAATAGTTTCGGAGAAATAACATCTCCTTGCCTCACGCCCCGCTGCAGAAGGATAGGTTCCGAAGCCCGGTCCTGTAATCGGACTGACATAGTAGCGTTTTTATACAAACACCTCAACACTTCGATATCATCATCATCATCAGCCTGTATCTCTCCACTGCTGGATGTAGGCCTCTCCCATAGTCCGCCACAATGAACGATCGTCCGCCTTCCGCATCCAATCTCTCCCAGCATATCGCCGCAAGTCATCGGTCCAACCTTCGATATAACGATAATCAATTTGCCACCGTTGGGAGAGACTGCAACACGGGCCAGGTTTCAATTGAATCAAAGACTTTCTCGTAGTCAACAAATGCTGAACAAAGCGGCAGGCTATATTCCTCGGTCGTTTGTACAATCTGGATCGTATGGATGTGGTCTTTTTTTTATTGCTTAGATGGGTAGACGAGCTCACAGCGCACCTGGTGTTAAGTGGTTACTAGAGCCCATAGACATCCACAACGTAAATGCGCCACTCACCTTGAGATATAAGTTCTAAGGTCTCACGTATAGGTCTACGGTACTATAGTCTTTTCGGAAACCGGCTTGTTCGGGTGGCTGGAAGTCATCAAACCTGCGCGCGAGACGGTTCGTAATAACTCTCGAGAACAACTTATAGACATGACTCAGAAGTGAGATGGGTCTATAATACTTCAAACAAGTATTGTCACCCTTTTTGAAAAACAGTACCATCACACTTCTGGTCCATGCCAGGGGCACATTCCCATCATGAATGATGGAATTAAATAAATTTTGAAGGGCTCGAAGGACTGGTTTTCCACCCGCCTTCAGAAGTTCGGCAGTAATTCCATCCTCACCCGGTGTCCTGTTGTCCTTAAGTTTTTTGAGAGCCATTCTAATCTCGCACAGGCTGACGTCGGGGATATCTTCGGTATAGTGTCGGACTAATCTAACTCTTGGATCCTTTGCTAGAGTTTCCACGGGTTGTCGAGTAGATGTGTAATTTTTTTTTTAATTCATTTTTATTTAGAGTTCATTTAATGTTTATCCTTACAAATAATTTGATAGTTTTGTCAATTTTGGCAGAGTAGCTCCCACTTCGACATGTTAACAGTTTAAATAAACACCTCTTAAAAATTATTATTCTCACATATTATAATAACACGATCTTCATAAAATATATTGTCGCACATTATAAAAGAATAAATTAAAAATCTACATATTTTTACATGAATACAACATATTTTTAAATATGGATGGATAAATGAGCCTATGGACCACCTGTCAATATGAAGTTACTGGAGCCCATAGACATCTACAACGTAAATGCTACCATCTACCTTGAGATATGAGTTCTTAGGTCTCAGTTTTTACAGTACAACGGCTGCCCCACCCTTCAAACCGAAACGCATTACTGCTTCACGGCAGAAATAGCCAGACCCGTGCGGACTCACAAGAGATCCTACCACCAGTAAAAACGCCACCACCTCTAGATATGGAGTTCGGGACTGACATTGAACTTCAAGGTGGTACCGTTGAAATTATTCGCTCGTCAGTTTCAAAGAAGGTAACAGAAAAAAAGTAGATAGCCCGATACCTAATATAAATAAAACAATTAAAATAGAACCATATTATTCAGCATATCTCCTACTACGGTTCACGTACAGTTCACGTGATGGCAAGCAGTTACCAGAACCCAGTAATACGACAAACGAGAATCCCGCTAGTCCTAACCTGAGACATGCGAGGACATATTATGCGGAAACCAACACTGCTTCGCGGCCCAAAGGAGACGGAAAATCGTGGGCCAAAAATGTAATAACTTGGAATGTAGTCTAAAAAATTTGTCATATTTTTTTATATAAGAATATAAAAAATCACCTCAATCCTCTTTCTGGGACCGGAGAAAAATGAGAAAGTTAGTTTTTGTCGGTATAACGGTGTGATCGATTTAATTAATCGATTACAGGATTATAAAAAGANCTCTGCACGCGTTTTACGCAAGAGCATCCGGGTGATGGAAGGCCGGCTATCCTCGACCCACGCTGGTTCTGACCCAGCGGGGTATTTCGTAGGATAACCTATTCAAACCGGCGCCATCTAGGCGGGCTTCGGACAGCCTGCCGACCGAGAGGGCTGGTGGTCGTGGCGCCGACGATCGCTGGCCCGGCGTCCCGAGGGGGAGGGTGATAGGAGAGATGTGCTCCGCACTAAACGCTTCACTCTCCTCCCCTTGCCTTTTCATGAGTTCTGTCTCATGCGAGGGTTGGACGTTGGTTGTTGAGCGACAGGAGGTTTTAGTCGGTTCGACTCCGACATGCCCCACCCTCCATCCCCAGTGGAGGGTGGGAGTCCGGCGTTAAATAGCATTTTGTTTCATATCGCCTGCACTCAGCATTAATTTGCATTCATGTTC